TTTTGACAGGCCAAAGCTTCATACAGATTAGAAAACAAGAAACAGAAAGGCTCAAATAGCACAACAACTTGGAGGGGAAAAAATCCATTAAGGCAAATGGTGCATTTGCTATTTTGCAGTCAAAAGCCCTATCCGCACAGGATTAGTTTTACCAAAAGACCACATGTAATAAATAAATTACTCCCCAATGTCTGCTTTTTATGTGGCACATTCGCACGGGATAACAAAAGTCTGAGATTTTGCTAAAATTTATGGACATCTTCCGGATATGATGTTAATGCGCTGCATATTTAAAAAAGTCGAGTTAAGCTTGGATGGACAACCTGTCACTGACCGTGTGCGTCCACTGACCCGCCGGTTGAAATGGAGTTGCGACCTGTCCAGGGTGTACCCTGCCTCTTCCACAGTGATGGCTGAATATGAGCACCAGCGACCCCCACTACCCGTAAAAGAAGAAGCGAGTAAATATAATGGATGAATGGATGGATGGATCAGTTGATCACCGGCTGTGCGCGTCTCCACACCTGCCGTTATCTGCGGTGAAGGAAGTAGCAGCATCTACAAAATCCGAAGCGAGCAGCGCGTTCTTTTAAAATAGCCTTATTCTATATTTTTTCCAAATTATTTTGCTTAAACAAAAACAAAACACGCCCAATTACATATCGGATCCCGCCCATTTCTGTCCAAATCACAGAGATGCCTATTCACATTGGATTAGTATTATCACAGGACCTCGGAGTTCAGCAAAATATAGTAGGTAATTTGCAGGGGGATTTTTACTTTACAAATTACTGACATGGCCAATTTGCATGGGATTAACAACACGGACAATCTCTGTAATTATTACAAATAGCATGTGGTCCCTAGGTAAAACTAATCCTGTGCGAATAGGACTAAAGATGTGAGATAATTTGGAAACTGGGAGGCCACAAGGATTAAAAAGTAGTATAGTAGTAGTAAAAACAGGAGGACAAAAATGGCACAGAAAAAAAAAACAGGGACAGGGGCATTCTGAAGAGGATTGGCAGTGGCTCTCAGATAAGACAGCAATGTCAGTGGGATGAGACAGTTTAAGTTTATCGTCCTGTCTCATCTTAAACAGGGCTGCATGGATGTCCCCTATAAGAAAGCGTCCACGGGGACAGAGGTTGACAACAGCATCTTATCTAACCTCTCTGGAGAGAACAGCAGCAGGAATACAACATTACAATAGCAGAAGACTGAACATGAGAAAGGGAAGTCTGTGCACAGAATAAAGGAAGTGAAGGGCATACGTAGAGCAGAGAAATGTGGGATGTTGTATGTGAGTCAAAGGAGAAAGTTCTTCCTTACACTATAAATGTCTGGGGACTGGTGCCAGTTTCACAGAATTTAAAGTTGACAATCAGCAGATGTCCCTGTTTTATTATGCGTTTTAGATATAATTATGTAAAATAGAATTAAAAACACATAAAAAGGGGGACATTATTGTGAGAAACAATAATGAAAAACACAAAATATCATGAAAGGACACATCTGGCACTCCTGAATTTATAAAATGCAAAAGTGTAATTCAGAAAGACCGAAAGGAGAAAAGACAAAAATTAACAGGGACAAAAAGGACAAATCATGATAGATTTGTTTCTTCTCCTTTTCTTTTTGAATAAAATGAACTGATTCACTGAACCAAAAAAAAAAACTAACAAAACAAACAAAAACAAAAAACCATTTGGATTTTGTGAAAACTAAAACAAGACTTTACCTACAGAAAGTTAAAGGTTGCCCCCTATCAGAAGTAAGAACTAACTGCAGGATTCACATGCTGAAGGGACTGGCACACTACTCTAAAACCTTACAAACACTTCTGACTTGACCAAAGTCAAATTAAAATCAAAACTCTGAAACAGCTCATTAAGAAAACTGCAGAAGAAAACCATCACAAATAATACCAACCCGCTCCTGTCCTGCTGTGTCCCAGATCAGGAACTTGTGCAGGTCGCTGTGGTATTGCACGGTCTTGGTCATAAAGGATGCCCTGGTGAAAAAATAAATAAACACAAACATTGAAAAAACATGAAGCAGTCTGTTTATAAAATGTTTAAATTTGTGTCAAATTTGAGTTTTTAAGTAACATTTTATTTGCAAGACTGACAATAAATCGTTGGTTTTAATTAAAAAAATATATTTGGATTTATTTTTTTATCTGTTATTTTTTTATATTTTAACAAGCTTTGTTTATTTTTTACTTTTACTGTTTGATGTGTAACTGATAAAATCTGTTCTTTTATGATCCTACAATCCCATTTATTTGAGCTTATCCTTATTTATTATGATCACTTTTAAAAGGTTGCATCGTCATGTTATTTTATTAAATTGCAGTTTGCGTTTTTAAACAGCTGTAAAGCACTTTGAAATTTTTTGAAGATATAGAAAAATCAAAAATGCATTACTATCATTTGGACAAAATGCCTAAATAAGTTGAGCACGGTTGAACTTGGAATTACCTTTAAAGTTGATCATTACTATTTGTTTTACCTGTAATATTAATGAAGACTTCATTCTTAATTATGTGCCTTTCTCTTCATTAACTAACAAACTATTTGGTTAAGTATGTGGGAGAAAAATGACAAATTTATTAACATTTTATGGCAAATCCCATTGAGATCACAGATCTATTTTGCAAGGGAGGCCTGGGCCTGAAGGCAGCCTAACATGCATGTTTTTGCTCTGTGGGAGGAAACCGGAGAAAACCCACGCAAGTACGAGAAGAACATGCAAGCTCCACCCAGAAAGACCCCAGGTCCAACTGGGGATTGAATGCAGGACCTTCTTGCTGTGAGGCAACAGTGTTAACCACTGAGCTGTCGTGCTGCCAAAATAAACAAATAAAAATAATTTGATTATATTTAATAGGACAAAACTATTCTGAATTCTGGAATAACAAGCTAGGATAAAAAGGATAAAACTTGGTGTGATAGAAAGATTTTAACAAATCAGAAACATCCGATAGAATATTTATTTCAGATGCAACTTGTGAAGCCACTTTATCTGAGCTGATTTCACAGTCAACAACAACAAAAAGGACAGTGAATAAACATGTGTTGATACCTCATCCTTACACGACTGCATTTAACAGTTTCAAGCACAGGAAACAGATGGAACTTACCCAATTGTTGGGTTTATGTTTGGGTCAAAGCTGTCCTCCACAAATCTGCAAACAATACTCGACTTTCCAACACCAGTGTCCTGCAGAGACAAAACAAAGAGAATGTGCTCCAAACAGTCTCATCAACAATGACCACTTTATTGTAGCATCGTCTTTCATTATGTCCCTCTTGTAAGCAGCAAAATATAGAAAATTATATAAAAACAAAACAAATATGCTTTTAAAATTTCCTTAGAATATAAAAAGGCGCAATTATATTATACTACTGGTAGAGAATATTACTGTTTATGGTGTTGGTAAGCTATTTATATTGCACAGCTACTCTTCCTTTTTATGCCTCGAATGAAGTGAAGGGTGAATGACATATACCCAAACTATGTTATAAATACAATTTTCTGACACAAACTGTACATGTATTGAACAGGAAATGCGGGGAAAAGCAAAAGACAAAATGCCTGAAGATCAGGACAACTTTAAAAGATTACAAGAACGTCTGGCTCGTGAGAAGCAAAGTATTTAAAACGTATTTAAAACTTTTGTATGCATGTTCAGCACAGAGTAAGATGACGTCTAGTAAAAATTAGGATGCTACATAAATGCTTTTTTGTGATGCTGACAAAGTAAATAGTGCCTTGTACAGTCACGTTAGTCAAGTTTTTAATATTTTAAAACCACTAAGACGGTTTAAAAATAATAATATACTTGAAAGTTACCAACACATACAATGTAAATAAAGGCAGTGACGGTTCAGCCTGAAGATAAACAGTTGTGATGACGTAAGAGAAATTATTCAGTAGATTGTCTAATAAAAATTCATACGGACTTACCCCCAGGAGACACACTTTTAACTCTCTTAAAGCCATATTGAACTATTACTAAACTAGTTTAAGATAAAGATCATTGGCAATTGTTTTCCTTCTCCTGTTTGTTTCCAATCTTCAATATGCTTCAGGTAGTCTGTGTTTACAGACACTTCATCGTAATAAAAAGCTGGCAAATCCACATTTCAGATTAACAAAAAAAAAAAAAAAACTGCCGTAAGTACTAAAATGTCTCGTACTTTGACTTTTTAAATATTATAATTGCCGTAAACAGCTAGCCAGCTAACAGAAAAACCACGAAAACGTATGGTCTCCATCTTGAAACCCAACGTGTGATCACGTGACAGTGTCGGCTTTTTTTTTTTTCCTCCCCGGAAGATACACAAAGAAGCCCACTAACTGTGTTTACTCGCAGTTTAGTCGAGTTTGTTCCAGAGCTTCAAAACATTTATGGGGGTAGTTGTTTGAAAGCCAATTTACTACTAAATAGCAGCATCAGGAAGTAGTTTCAGGAAGTACATTTCTGCCGTGTTTGAGTGACAGCTGCACAGCAGAGACAACCCACACCGGACGGGCGGTGTTGTGCCGCAAAAAGAACTCCTGCAGCGAAAGGCCTTTCCGGCATTTGTTTTCGCTCTTAAATTATTATTAACAATATTATTAGTATTGCTAATAATAATAATAAAAAAAAAAACTTACCAATGTAAAATGAGAAAAATACTCACACAAACAAACACTAAATTTCCCTAAAATACTTGACGCTTGAAAGTAAGGGCGAGAAATATTCAGGTCATGTGGGGAGCATATTCTGACTTGGCCTGTTTTAAAGAGCACGGCAGCTAACATTAATTTATTAGCTTTAAACATTTGTCGTTTCGTGCGTTAGTTGGATTTTAAAACGAGTCAGGTTGTTTTGTTTTACTTTACTCTAAACTGTTTCTAGATACAAAACTGCCTTGAAATGCCCTTTCCACGAGGGGGTGCTTTAAACAGATGGTGTACATTTTTCGGCACAACACCTGCAGCCCGCAGAGCAGCGGAGCGGATATTCAAGATGGCAGGTAATGGCACTTTTGAAACCTATTTTCTAACATATATTGAAGCTTTTGGTACTTATAAGTCATGTCGTATTGTTCAGTAGTGTAACAGTTAGATAGAGGAAACTAATTTACTACTTGTACATATTATGAAGCGAAGTGGTAGGTTATGAGAGTCAAGTCAAACGCTGGACAAACCGTGTTAGCGGACTTAGCAAGACTAGCCTAAGCTACCCGGGGTGTCGAAATGGTTCGTTTCGAAAGTAAATATATAACGTACCATTTCGTGAAGTTGAGTAAAATAAACTCATGAAAGTAGGTTTGTGTTTAAATAGTATTGTGCTCCAGCATTTGGGCTATTTTTTGTCGTTTTTAAGGTAAAGCCTATCGAGTTGATCTAGCTAACGTTAGCCGGGTAGCTACCTACAGTCAGTCTCAGGCATAAGCTGACCAAATCCTCATAACAAAGCAGATATGTTGTTCTTTGCAGCAGTGATTTTTGGGGTGACTTTGTTTGTTTTTGTAACGCTGCGTTATTCACCCATAAACAACAGACTTGATTTAGCATGTCGAGGTTGGGGTTGTTTTAAAATTTGGAGCACATTCCGTTGCCTTCCCAGCTGTAAACACATGCGTCTCTTCCTCGTCTTTCTGGGCTCTTCATTTTACTAACTCGTACTACTGCTGTCATATATTCAGGACTGAGTGGTATTTCAAGATTGTTGTTATTAGTTTACTCAAAGTTAACCAGAAACCATTTGTGTCTTGGTAAAAAATAGGAGTAGTTCTGTCAGCAAAATAGTTAAAAATAGTACACATTATAAGTACTACACTGCACTAAAGCAATGTACCTATCAGACGAACTACAGAAACATTATAATATTTGATGTAAAGAAACACCAGAGGTTTTGATATATTACTATTCATAATCAAAAAGTGGTAGCTATGCTAATTTTTGATGACGATATAATTTATTATTACAGGTAGATTTTATACTAAAATAACATCTGGCTGACTCTAGATCACAGGGCTGCTCAGAAAGACTGGTTGATTTGCAGCTGATTGCAGGCAATGAGATCAGTGTTTTTGTGCTACACTTTTCCTTAATTAAGAGTGGGCTTCAACAAATAAAATTAGTTGTCCTGGTGACAGTATATCATCCATCCATTATCTTTTACCCGCTTCTTCCATTTTGGGTCACGGGGGTCGCCAGTGCCCATGTCCAGCAATCTCTATGCGAGGGGCAGGGTACACCCTGGACAGGTTGCAAGTCCATCACAGGGACACATAGAGACAAACGAGACAAACCATTCGACAGTATATCATTTTATTTACAAATGATCTCATGTTTGGAAGCCAAATTCAAGATCATTTCATTCAAAGAGACACATTCTTTGCAGTCACAATTGAACAAATCTTGATTTCAGAAAATCTATTAGTGTATTAATGGTAGTAATCATTTGTTGTACCTTTAAAAACAAACCAAGAAAAAAAACTATAAACACGTGTACTAGTTCTTTTGGTTAACAAGCAATTTGTCTTTTTATGTTCATGTTAAATTGCTGTCTGTTTTTTTTATTTATTTAGGTGATTTAGCATTCATTGAAAATAAGAAAATATAATAAAGAATAAAAACTGGTTATTAAAGTATAACATAAATATAATCATTTAACAATTCCTTTTAGGAGTTTGTGGATGCCTTCCAGAACACACGCATAAAATAAAGCAAAACATGAGTTTTGGAAAAGTGGTACAATAAATTGGTTTTGAGAGTTGAGGCTGAAGGGAGATTTTATGTTTAAAGATGAGGAAAGTCTTCATGACACATGATTGAGCATGAACTTTGATGATTTCATGACACAGGTAAACTGTGCCAAAGTTTCAGAGGTTTGTGAGTGTTTATCAGCCTAGAATGCAGGAGTCATTTTAATTTTGGGGGATATTTGACCTGTGTTAATGTTTATAAATTTTGTACTAAAGCATTACCTTTATTATATGTGAAACAAAATGTGCAAAAAAAAATGATAACTGAAGAATACTGAATACATCACAACTATGGATCTATTTTTATTGTATTTGTTATTTTTATTGTATGCTAATAAAACTTTATCAAACACGTTTGAAACATAATGTGTATGGACAGAAACAGTCATTTTATTGAGGCAAATAAATGTATTCATATTAAAAACTAAAATCACAGAACATGTTTTAATTGTTATGTGTATTTTGAACAAATTAAACAATGAGATGGAAAAACAAAAAGTAAATGTGTTGAACCAGTGCTTGAGAGAAATGATTTGGTGTTGAACTAAAGCAGGTGGACATATAAAGCGTAAAAGTTCCTTCAAACATGAGTCCTTGGAATCCTGTATGGTGATCAGATGATGGAACAAAATGTAACCACTCCAGTTGGTTAGGTACGCCTAGAAAAAGCCAGGTGGTATGATATAACTATCATATTTCCTGTTGGTCAATATTGTGGTTGTAAAGCTCAGTTTTTGTTGAAAATTCTGGTTACACTTTATGTTAGCAAGCTGGAGTGTGTGGTATTGCTGTAAATTGCCTGCTAAAGTTTAACATGCTCATGTGACAGAAAAAGAGTCTGAACAACAAGAACAACTTTTACTTTAATGCAGCACAATAGGACTTTTTGCTAACTGTGCACGTCAGTGACTATAATAACTTTATTATTTACATTCTATTTAAAAGTTTATGGCTATGCCAGTTTTGAGTCCTAAAAGGATCTCATCATGTATTGGTAAAATTCACTATAAATGTTTTTCCATTATGAGAACTTGTAAAGTCTCGTTTACGGGTCACTACGTTGACATTGGGATTTCAGTGCATGAAACCTTACTGCGTAATTAATAAGGAAGAGCTCAATAATTTGTTGTCAGTCTAACTAGAATGAGACTTTGGTCCTTCTTAGTAATTGTCAGGCAATAAAACTGCCATCCCATAGCTCTTTTCATTTTGTGGGGCAAGCAATGATGGTTCATTCACTCCTTTGTTCATTTATTTTATTTATATAGCTCGTTTTAGTTGAGATAATATTTTGTAAAATATATTTGATAAACCCAGTTTAAATATTGTTCCACGTATTACATCTAAAATACAAACTCCATTATCAGTCTAAGAAAATATTAGGTTGGAATTTATTAAATGTAATATGTTGATGATGTAAATCTCTCACTAATAGTTTTATCCTTTCAGGTCTATCTTTATACTTTGAAGATAGCCACGATGATCTGGATGATTGTAAGTACAAAAATTGCTTTCAAGTTAATACTTTCTGCAAATTCAATGTAACTTAAAGCACAAAATTCAATACACAATGGTAGAATATCTTTTGTTTTGTAAATAAAAGGGAGTTCTGGGTTTGAATTAGACTTATGTCCAGTTCAGGCATAGCAGATTCTCCATTCTTGAGAATTGGCATCAGTATCATCACGGCACCACAGAGACACCACTCATATTTTAAGATTTAAACATTAAGCTACTTTCTACCAGTAAAACATCCCTTTCTCCCTCCCACAGTTGGATTTGATGATTATTCTTCAGAATGCGATGGCATCCGCATCACAGCCTTCCTTGATGCTGGACAAGACAACCTAACTCCTCTTGGGAGGCTAGAGAAATATGCCTTTAGTGAGAATACATTCAATAGGTAAGTGGTGTCCTGTGATCAGTTTGGTTAACCTGAGCCTTGAAAAACTTCACGTGTTTCAACTGGAATGCTTATCAAATACATGTTCTTACTAATATCTGCATTGAAAGTCTTTTCAAAAAAGAAACATCTGTAAATATATGGAATTTATTTGAAAAGAAAATCCCATCCTATAGGAAATTCATATTTGTATAATCTAATTGGCATTAATCACTATTGATCTACTTTTGTGGTGTGAACTTTTCATTTCGTGTACTATAATAAATACCCAACTATTTTATTTTGTACTATTTTTGTGGGATGTTGCAGATGTACCAAACTAAGGAGGCTCCCCTAATTTTATTGTGTACAAATCATATTATTTATTTATCAGATAAAAAAAAAAAAAACTGCATTATACATTTTTATTGTAGAATGAACATGTTGCATGATTTCAGTTCGGCTTTTTCTTTTCTATTGCCATGTGTCTGAATTTTGTCTACTTTACAATTACAAATACCTGAACAACTGGAGGAATGTCAAAATGTCTGAAGGTTTGCTTTAAAACAGTACTCAGCTGCTCCTTTTTTCACAAGTTTTAAGTGTTTTATTTTTAACTAGACTTACTTTTATAAATTTAATTATATGATCCTAACGTGCAACTTTCTGCCTGATCGTTTGTGTAGTTAAAATAAAAACATTAGTGCATTAAAAGTCCTTAGTTTGTGTTATATGTGCTTATGTGATCATACCATACAGCTGTTGCATTCACACAATCATGTTTAGTTCTTGTCTGGATGTTTTTTGCACCCCGGACATTTTTCCAATAGACGTGTATAATTATCTTGACAGCTTTGTCAGCTCTGTGTTTTACCCTGTGTAGGCTTGACATTAGTAGGTATTGGCAGGCACAACACTAACTGAAGCTATTGCTTTCTAGGCAGATTGTGGCTCGTGGCCTGCTTGATGTGCTTCGAGAGTTCAGTGACAATGAAAATGACTTTACCAGTGTCATGGAGACAATTGCCAGAATGTCAGAAGATGCAGGTATACATATATTGTTTGATTTGCACCTGTCCCGTTTTATTTTTGCTTTAATAAGAGTATACTGAAATGTGTGCACTCAGAGCCCACAGTGCGAGCCGAACTAATGGAGCAGGTTCCTAATATTGCCATGTTTTTGCACGAGAGTCGGCCCAATTTTCCAGCTGCTTTCTCAAGATACTTGGTACCAATCGTGGTGCGATATCTCACAGACCCAAATAACCAGGTAGGTTACAGATTCCTCGTTTTTCTTGATGATATTACAAATCTATTTAAACAACAATCTGTGTTGGTTTTAGGAGCAAATACGTTTTTTTTCCCCTCTCCTGATAAAATTGTAATTAGTTTTTTGCATTTTTTTACTTTCACCTTCACGTTTTACAGGTTCGGAAAACGAGTCAGGCAGCGCTGCTTGTTCTGTTGGAGCAGGGCCTTATCTCTAAAGCTGACATGGAGACCAAAGTTTGTCCAGTTCTGCTCGACTTGACAGAACCTAGCAGTGACGATGACTACAAGATCGAGGCAGTTGCTGTAAGAAACCCACTGAGCTCATTGAGCTTTTTAAATAATTTGAAATAAAGAATGGGCTATTTTGTTTTTTAAAAAAAATAGATGCTGTTTTTTTTCTGCTTGATTATAAATGTGTTAAGTTTATAACAAATGCACAAAAATAAAAGGTTTCAGTGTGGTTATTTAAATTTGTCTGCATTTTTACTACACATAAATGTCAGCTTTTATTGTATTTTACCTCTTTAAGTTTAACTTCTTGCAGTACTTCCAACACAAAACTCTGTTATTCTTCTTTGACTTATATTGCCTCAATTGTTTTGGTGAAAAAGCTTTCTTTAACTCACTTTTGATATGCAAGTGCATTGTGGTATTAAATTCTCTGCTTGGGTTATTTCTAATAGATCATGTGTAAAGTTGTTACCATGTTGAGCAAAGACACCGTGGAGCTTCTGCTGCTGCCGCGTTTCTGCGACCTGTGTAGCGATGCCAGACTCTTCCAAGTGCGTAAGGTCAGAAACCCCAACTCATCCTCATCTCATCAAGATACCGTCAAAAAGTTGAGAATTACTTCAAGAATGCATACTGTTTTAGATTGCAAACAAAGCTGAGAGAGCATTTACTGTGGATCAAGTTAATTGTGTTCAGTCTATAAATTAAATCACTCAGGAAGTCGGTGACTGTTTGGTTCTGTGCATCAGCTTAGCTGACACTGAGCTGTTGTTTTTCTCTGTGGAATGTTAATTCTCTGTTACTGGTGCCAGTTGGTGCAGGAGCTTCAAATTTTAATAAAATTTGTCTATTTATTTAGACTGTCGTCCACCTTTAGAACGTTCTGCCTTTGTGTTTGTTATACAGAATATATTAAGCTCACAAAAGTACCAAAAGTGGGATGCATCCCTTGCTCTAATACCCGAGTTAGTTTTGCTGTTTCAAATCAAAATGTCTGCCATGAGATACTGCAAGTCCCAAACTTTTATTGTGGTAATAGTTGCTTTTGTCTTCATAGTTATTGTTATTGTTAGGATATTATTTTATTTGAGTAAGTATGTTTAAAAAGATATCTCATAATTCAACATTTTTCAGTCAGGTCATCTGGACAGTTTCTTTTGTTGTGCTGAAACGTTTCGCCTTCGATCCAGAAGGCTTCATCAGTCAAGGAAAAACACAACAAAACTGATTCTTCCCCCAACAGCTTACCCCAAAGTGGAACAAACCAGTTTTGCTTGTGATAAGATGGTCTCTTTGGTACGCCCCCTCCTCCATTGCCGGCCATTGGGGGAAGCTGTTGGGGGAAGAATCAGTTTTGTTGTGCGTTTCCTTGACTGATGAAGCCTTCCGGATCGAAGGCGAAACGTTTCAGCACAACAAAAGAAACTGTCCAGACGACCTGACTGAAAAATGTTGGATTGTATACCTGGATTATTGAGAATGGACTTTGTTATATCATAATTATTTCAAGACACATATTCTTCCATTTTACAGCAGTTCTTTAACTTTTATTTAGAAATTACTTTGCCCATATCTTTGTGCAAAAATACACTTGTGTTAAATTGTAATTCCAGTCATTGCGCAAGGTAAATATTATCTTTCCATAGTTTGTGTCTAGTAATATAAAAAAAAGTTTTGTCAATTGTTTTATTTCATTGTCTTTTTTTTTTTTTTCATGCTTCAGGTGTGTGCAGCTAACTTTGGAGAGTTTTGCTCTATTGTTGGTCAGGAGGCAACAGAAAAACTACTGGTGAGAGACTTTAGATTAAAGTTTGTTTTTTTAATATAGTGTAAGAATAAGGATTTATAACATCTCACCCATTGTGTTGAGCTAACTTTATTTCCCATGAGGTCAAAATGATGTCATGTATGTTTACCATCAAAATGTCAATAGTCCCTTTGTTTTGTTTCCCAGCTGTTGACAAATCTCTGTTCAGTTCAAACACTGATTGTTGTTATGCTCGTATTTTAACATAGATGCCCAAGTTCTTCAACCTGTGCTCAGATACCCTTTGGGGCATCAGGAAAGCTTGTGCTGAGTGTTTCATGACCGTCTCCAACTCCACGTCTCCCGAGGTGCGACGCTCAAAGCTGTCACCCCTGTTCATTAACCTCATCAGTGATCAGTCCCGTTGGGTAAGACAAACCAACTTGAAAAATTAAATTAAATTTGAATGATTGTGTAAATTGTAATAATTTGTACTTTTTTTGCAAGGAAATTAGGGTGATTGTTACAAACAGATGTACTAATCAGCATGTGGTATTTTTCCTTTACCACTTGATCATTTTACTCATTTTGGAAATTAAGCATTTATGCATGCAAAGACTTGAGTCTTAAGATGTTCTGCTGGCTGAAGCAAAATCAAAATTTGTTTTTGTTAAGCCATAAAAGCTTCAGTGACCACCACCCATCATTATCCTCAAGTGTTAATGTGTAACCCAATATTAAGGACATTGCTCAGTTTTTTTATGAATATACCTTATATTAGACTTATATTAGAGTCATATTAGTGCTGCATACAGAAATAAGTATAGGTAAGTACTTTGCAGAATGTTTCATTTTGCAAGAAGGCCTTCTCTTACTCCACTCCTGTAACCTGGAACGCCTTACAAAAAGATCTGAAGCTGTCGACTTTGACCTCTAAGGGATTTTAAACAATTGTTAAATTCAATGCAAAAATCAATGCAGACATGTTCCTGTTTTTAGTATTTTACCCCATTTCATAATATAGCTTGTTTTCATTTTGTTACATTTTGTTTTCTATCAGTACTTTTATTTACTTTTCATTTTAGATGCATTTTATGGCTGTTGTGTGTACCTTATCTGTGGTTTTGTTTAAAACGGGTCTCTCTTGAAAATGGGTCCTTGTGACTCAATGAGACTAACCTGTATAAATAAAGGGTGAATGAATGTTCCCACATCTATTGTTGATTTACTTTGCTAAAACTCAACAGTAACACAAATGGTCTCCACTCATATTTGTTTTCAGGTGAGACAGGCTGCCTTTCAGTCTTTGGGGCGTTTCATCTCCACCTTCGCCAACCCCTCCAGCACAGGCCTTCATTTCAGAGAAGATGGTGCCCTTCCAGAAGTCTCTAGGTGTACACCAGACAGGTGAGGTCACCCTGCACATCACAGACCTTTATCCCAGCTTAGCTTAAGCTCATTGTGTGACAGTAGTGACAGCTTCTTTAAATACCAATCTGATTCAACTTGTGGCAAAATCTTTGAGCTTTAAGTGTTATCCATCCATCCATCCATTATCTTTACCCACTTATTCCATTTTGGGTCACGGAGGTCGCTGGTGCCCATGTCCAGCAATCACTGTGCGAGGGGCGGGGTACACCCTGGACGGGTCGCAAGTCCATCACAGGGCCACATAGAGACAAACGAGACAAACAAACATTCAGTCTCTCACTCACACCTAGGGACAATTTAGAGTTACCAATCAGCCTAACATGCATGCTTTTGGTCTGTGGGAGGAAACTGGAGTACCCGGAGAAAACCCACGCATGCACGGAGAGAACATGCAAACTCCACCCAGAAAGGCCCCTGGACCGGGGTTTGAACCAAGGACCTGCTCGCTGAGAGGCAGCAGCTCTACCAGTTGCACCACCGTGCTGCCGCTTTAAGTGTTAGTTTTTGTTAAATGAATCAAGGTTGTAATTCATATGGCATGGTGAGGATGGATGCAATCTTCGTATTTCTTTTCATCTACTACATTTAATTCCATTTACCAGATCAAATCTTATGACGTATAAAGTGATGGTTTAAAATACCTGTTAAAATTTCCACTAAAGTCTAACCCACAATGATTTAAATTTTCACTACTCAAAACCAATGAACCATTGAACTTGTAAAATATTTTTTATAGACCAATAACAGAAGCATGTGCTCAAGTGTTTATATATTGTATGTATTTTTTCCTTTTAGCAACTGTTCTTTGAGCCCCCTGAACTGCTCTGACATTAGCAGCTGCCACAAAGAAAGAACCATCACGCACACACCCCCCAACCAGGATGGCCGAGCCACACCATCACCAGAACATGTGTCGACCGCAGACTGTGAGGACTTGCACAACTTTGACAACCGCTCACCTGAAAATACGCAAGATGGCTTCATCCCCACAGACGGCACCGACAGTCCCACAGCAACAAACAACGCTAAGAACACAAAAGAAATGGAGCAGACAGATGAGAACTTTAATTCTTTCCATTACTGGAGAGCTCCTTTACCAGACATCAGTGAGGAGCTAGATATATTAAATTGTCCTGCATCAATGGAAATGACAGAGAAAGAGGAGAAGAAAGATGTAAATGAAGAGGAACAGGAAGAGAATTGTCCAGATTCTAGTTCCAGCCGTGGTAAAGCTACCAGCGATCAGATCCAGATGGTTTTAGACTGTTTGCAACCTCACATTGCTGATCCTGATGTACAAGGTGAGTATATAGAGAGAGCCTGGATATGAATGATGACATTTTTGCTCTATACTGTGTGTAGATTTAGTTGTGTAATATTTTGTACTTTATTTAATCTCCAGCTCAAGTCCAAGTATTGTCAGCAGCTCTGAAGGCAGCCCAGTTGGACAGCACATCAGACATCAGCCCAACAGAAACCAGTCCGACTGAACAACAACGAGAGGTGCTGCTTGAGGATGATCCTGAGTGCACATCAGAAGAGAGTCAAACTACAGAGCTTCAGTCAGAGACTGGGAACACTTGCACAGAGGAGCAAACTTCCACAGAGGAGCAAACTTCCACAGAGGAGCAGCAAACAATGACAATTTCCCCCGCCTCAGAAACGTGCCCAGTTCAAGAGCAAGAAGATGAAGAGACACAGACAGAACCCCTGGAGGAGCAGGAGGAGCCGCCTCCGAACTTTCCTGTTCCGGTACGTGACACTGGATATCACTGAAGTCCTATAAAACATGCATGCATTATTGATGCTACAGAACTGATACTTGACCGAATGGTTTAAAGTCCTTGGCAAGAGGTGATTGGTTTAGTTTGCTGCTCAGCATCATGCTCCTCTGTGAACCTAGAGTAATCTATTTTTGTTAACTATCAAGATTTAAAGTGCTTGAAAATTATGTTGTTAGTATTTATTTATTATTTTGATTCAATTATTACAAATTAAAGAGAATAAAAACTTTAATCAACTAATTTTGTTATCTAAACAGGATGGAATAGAGAAGTTTAGAGTTTTTCCCAGTAATCCCCCCAGTTTCTTGTGTTTGTGAGTTCCTGCTGAACAAACTGCTACAACATAAGAATGCTGGGATTGATGTTTTTTCTGTTTCTATTGGATTTTATCCAGAGCAGGTATTTGAAGAGGAAGTAGCTTTGTCAGATGTGTTTTAGTCTTTCACTTTGTTTTTTTTTTTCTTTTCTATCTGAAAACTTGTTGATTTATTTTTTTTTATTTTTATGAGATGCAAGCCGGTCAAGTCTTGTGCATTTATGAAGAATTCAGTATTTTTTGGATATTTTGGGGGGTTTAGTGTGCAGCCTGATTCCTTGTTTTGTAATGTTGTGGTTGTGATTTTTGTGATTTATTTATTTGTGCAGGAGTCTAACTTCATTGAAAGAGTTGAAGAGGAAAAACAAGACGACTGTCCTCACAGCCTGGTGTCGAAGGTGAAGCCTAAAATCCAGGTCAGTCATTAAAAATAAATATACAAACTACAATTCAATACTGATGGTTTTTTTCTTGTTCTTGTGAATATTGAACTTTGACAATTCTGTCTACAGAACGTGATCCCCCAGCAGCTGCTGGATCAGTACCTCTCCATGACAGACCCTGCCCGGGCCCAGACGGTGGATACAGAAATAGCCAAACATTGTGCCTTCAGCCTGCCAGGTGTGGCGCTCACTCTTGGTCGACAGAACTGGCACTGCCTGAAAGACACGTATGAAACCCTCGCTACTGATGTGCAGGTGAGAATCAAAATCAAATGTTTTAAGATGTACCGTATCAACAAACTGCAGTGTAATCCTCTTTTGAACACATATATTTTCATTAAAATATGTCATTTATAATAGGACTGCTGAGGTATGATTTATTTTTATTTTTTTAAGCTTTCATATGTAACATTTCCATCAGTGTCCACAATCTGATGTGACCGTGGCACAGCGGTGTTGTTCAATAGATGTCACGGTTCTAATAAATCGTCTCACCCTTTATCAAATTAGCCAGCCTCTATTTTGAGGCTTACCAGGTGGTGCATGGTGGGAAAGAGCTAACATGTGCCAGGATTTTGGATCACTAAAATTTTCTACATTTATGTTAAAAATTCTCAAGCTTTGATTTAAGATGGTACATTCTAAAATAAAGAGCATCTATAAAACGTGGACAACATGATGGTTTTTATGAAGCTGTAGGGCTAGCTTCATTTTAGCCTGTCAGGATACACAGTATCTTGGTTGGCAACATGGGCTTTAGATCACAATTTTAGACATTTATTTCATTTTGTGCCAATAAAACATAATTCCTCTTATCATTCAAACTTGTGAGCAGTTTTTAAAATCACAGTTTAAAATGTCATAATTTTGGTCAAACACAAATTTTGGTCTTTTCGTCCTTAATTTGTTTTGTAAAGAGACTTTTTTTTTTTGAGAAGTTGTGCAGTTTTAACAAAGATGTAAGCAAGAATAAGAAACAAGTAAAATAAAACAGATTCATTTTTATTGTTGAATACAAATTAATAGAAGTTCCAATTAACAAATTCAGTAAATGTCAATAACTTACTTTTTGAAAACGACTAATATTCAAGTATCTTTATTGTCATTCGCATCACATGTGTTCCATGAGGTGGAATTGAGTTGTGTACTCAGGGTCCCAGTTACACCCAAAAATAGCAAAAATATAAAGTATAAAAAAAGAAACGGTATACAAGGATCTAAGATATACGCTAAATAACAATATTATAATATAATAAGGTGTATTAAACAGCAGCCTGAACATGAGTATGTTGTGAGCAGATGGGTGTGAATAAAGCAGCTTAAAGGCAAGAAATCAGCAGCATGGATAATCAGCAGCACAGATAGCGACATATCGTATGTTAGGCTGCTTCAGGCCCAGGCCTCCCTTGCAAAAGAGATCTGTGTTCTCAATAGGATTTGCCTGGTTAAATAAAGTTAATAAAAAATATCACCAATTAAAGTGGCATTACAGTGATTTTCCTGATTAGAGATTCACGAGTCTGACAGCCTCAGGGTAGAAGCTGTTCCTCAGTCTAATGGTTCTACATTTAATGCTCCTTAACCTCCTTCCTGAGGGGAGCGGGGCAAAAAGGTGTGTGCTGGGTGAGCGGGGTCCTTCATGATGCAGGTGGCCCTCTTCCTGCATCTGGAGGTGTAAATGTCTGTGATGGTGGGTAGACTGACTCCGACAGGCTTCTGTGCAGTCTGCACTGCTCTCTGCAGCGCTTTCCTTTCTCCAGCTGTGCAGCCCCCGTGCCACACATTGATGCTGGAGCACAGGATGCTCTCCACTGCACACCTGTAGTATTGCTGTACCTGTAGTGCAACTGTATTTCTTATCAATAGTTGGTGTTATAATGTTTTGACTGACCACGTTTTCACTCTCAGTGGAAGGTGCGGCGTACGTTAGCCTTCTCTATTCACGAGCTGGCGGTCATCCTGGGGGACCAGCTGACAGCAGCTGACCTGGTGCCCATTTTCAACGGTTTCCTCAAAGACCTGGACGAGGTTCGCATCGGCGTGCTCAAACATTTGTATGACTTTCTGAAGGTAAGATCTCAGGTCTCCTGTTTGACCCTGACCATAAAAGAATGAAACTGTTTGGGTTGGGTGACTGAGCTGGTGTGTGTCGTGTACTTGTTGCAGCTGCTGCACGCAGACAAAAGGAGAGAGTATTTGTACCAACTGCAGGAATTCATGGTGACTGACAACAGTCGCAACTGGAGATTTAGATACGAGCTAGCAGAGTAAGTTTTTTTTCTTCCCCCCACCAGTTTGGGTGCAAAATTAACTTGACTGTCTTATGCGGTGTTGCAGGACTGAATTGTGGGTGTGTATGTAGTGTCGTCATTTATTCAGAGTCCATTTTTCCTCCTTGTTTTGATCTTCTGTATTATCTGTTATGTGCCTTCAACTAAATGTACTCACTTGTTTGTTCGCCCCCAGGCAGCTGATCTTAATCATAGAGTTGTACAGCCACTACGATGTGTATGACTACCTCAGGCAGATAGCACTCACCCTCTGCTCCGACAAAGTCTCAGAAGTCAGATGGATCTCGTACAAACTGGTAAGTCCACAGCAGGCTGCATGAATTGTTGGAGGGAGTGGACATTAGTTGAGGAAAAATGTTAGCAGCTTGTGATAATTTGCTTCGCAGGAAAACAAGGTGAAAGGGAAATTAATCTAAATATGGAAGCTTTACATGGACTGGTGTTTGTTGTAAAGTAATACCCTGATATAACAAATTCCAGAGTCATTCATTACCACTTTAAACAAAAACTAGCATACATTTGCAAAATATTAATTCCATTTTAACCTTTATTATAGTCTGAGCAGTTATTTTTAGTGTCATCACATCCTCTGCTACCTCTCAGGTGGTGGAGATCCTCCAGAAACTGTACACATGCGGCGCCGATGACCTGGGCTTAAACTTCATCAATGAGCTCACCGTCAAGTTCTGCCACTGTCCTAAATGGGTGGGGAGGCAGGCCTTCGCTTTTATCTGCCAGGTCTGTACGTCTTATCTCAAATGACATGAAACTGGACTGTGACTCATCAAATTCTTTTGTTTTTATTCCTTTATTTTTGTTTGATTAATTTTCTGAGCTACTAATAGAATAAAATCATATAAATATGTGATGATGCTTTGTGAAGCACCTTCTGATCTTATTTGTTTCTGGAACTCAAAATGCCTTTTGTCACTTGGTTTTTCAGTAATAGTTGCTAAATTATAGAATATTTTTGTGTGTGTGTGTGCTGTGCAACCCAGTGACTAATAAGAAAGTGTCATCAGTCTTCCTTGTGAACAGTTCTAGTAATTCTGTTGTGAACTGCTTTTAGTTCCTGCTTTTCAAATGTTGAGAGGCTTTTTATATGTTGCAACTTCTGACATCACACCTGTTCACAAGATTCTTGTTGCTTCTGTGCCTCTACTTGTTTTGTGTTCATGTTTTTTTTGTTTTTCTTTCCTGTAGGCCATCGTTGAAGAGGACTGCATGCCCATGGACCAGTTCAGCCAGCACCTCTTGCCCAGTCTGTTCAGCCTCTCCTCAGACCCAGTGGCCAATGTCAGAGTACTGGTGGCTAAGGCTTTACGACAGAGCGTCATGGAGAAAGGTAATTTCTAACCAAACTCAATCATGTGTTGGTTAAGATACAGCTAGTATGTGTTTGCGTATGTGGGTCTTGCATTCCCACTAACTGGGTTTTTTGTTCAGCTTTCTTTAAGGATCCGGGCTGTGGCTACTCCGACGAGCTGGAAGAGACTGTGATGGCTCTGCAGTCCGACAAGGACCGAGATGTCCGATTTTTTGCCAGCTTGGACCCAAACAAAGGCCTGATGGACACGGCTGCTCTGATCTAAGCCTTACCTTTCCAATTCCTGTCGATCTACCTGCCTGTCTCACCTGTCTGTTTGACCGATGCACAGTCAGCGTTACCTTCAACACCAGCACCCGACCAGATTCCAACCACTCGCCTGCCAGGCAGACCAGACTACTTTGAGAATCTCAACAGATGTTCATATTGCAATATAAAAGATTTATGCATGCTCAAACAAACAAAACGGTGTCTCTGGTTGGGCAACACAAAACGCACACAAGCAAAAACAACCCCCCCACCACCAACATCCACCCCACCATAGACTCAAACCTACGACAGGCCTCCTAAGCTTCTAAGCTTGTTATAGATATTAAACAGTTTTGTTTTTCTTAATCTTTTTTGTGGGTTTCTTAACAAACAAGCAGGTGTTGCCTGCCTGTCTCTGCGTGTGCACTAACTCAGGGGGACTTTTCTGAACCTAAACAGCATTATTAAGCTTACACTGTAAGCAGCAGCAGCAGCAGCAGCTGGAGCCAGGGTGAAAAACCTCCAGCTGTCCGAGCAACAGACCAGCCAAAACAAGTAGCTCCGCTGGTCACACCGTTTCCTTCTTAAAGCTTATTGTCTCAGACACTCCTTTGTCTTGAGCGATCATCTAGTTTTTTGTCTCTTCTGCCTTCTCATATAATTCATTCTCACTTCTTCATGGGACACAAAAACCACTGCTGCTGTACAGAATGGCGTCTCTGCCACTCCGCGTGAATAAAACCATATCTTTGAAACGTTTTGAAAAAGCAGCCTAACTAAAGGTTGCCTCCCTCTCCCCCCTCCTGCATCTACAAATGTGACACTGTGTCTCCCAGATAGGAGACCAATAGAATACCTCTGTTCAGGCACGATGGGCCAGTGGGTCACACGGGGGTACATCTATGTTCAACCAGGATCTGAATGTCCTCAGATTTTTTTTTTTTTTTTTCACCCTTATTCTGTGGCGTTAACGAAACAAGGGCTCATGTTGAAGTGACACAGGGTGACTCAAAACAGAGAAGTGGAAGAAAGCAAGCACACTGTTGGATAATGCATGTTTCCCCTCCTCCACCCTCCCTCTTGTGTACAGTTTGTATCACTTCCTTAACGTTGACGTCATTTTAAATGGTGACCATGGCTGCTTTCAGTGGATCTGACTAACCGGTTGTACAGTAGAATAAAGTAGTGGCTGTGTTAGCAGAGCTGAAGACACCTGATCATGTTTCCCTCTCGGTGGAATGAGAATGAGGTTTCTCAACTTTTTTCACTTTTTTTGTACAGCTTGAACCTGTGGATAAAAAAAAAAAAAAAAAGTGTGTTAATGGAACCAAGGCCAGTTTAGTCGAGATGTGTATGAATAGTGGGAGCAGTCACCAAGTCACTTTTTTTTTCCTATGATCTTGTGAGCTCATTTGTTCTGTTGTAAATGTTTACCCCCTCCCTCCTTTTTTTTTATTATGAGCAGAATTTGAGAACTTGAGCTGATTGTGGTGTGTGCTGTGCATCTCGTGTCTTTCTTCCTCAGAAAGAAGAGCTCGCCGCAGTAATGGCGGTGTCGACTCATCTCGTCTGTCTGCAATTTGTGTCCATCTCATTTTTTTAAAATGTAGAACAGTTAATATATACGTTTTATGAAAGTTATTTTTCTTTTTTTTTTCAATTATGCACCGCAGTTCAAAGATTTTATATCCTAACTTTACAAAATTTACAACCTTTGTAATATTCAATGGTTTCTTTTAAAAAGACATTTTATGTAACGTTATTTTTAGTATTCTGTAATTAAAATGATGAAAATAACGTGTGTTCAGTTGCTATTATAACGAGCAAGAATAATACGAGGAGCATTTTAACCCAGTTTGTTTTAAATATGTTGCGACATATTCGATACAAAAAGATGCTTAGTGCTGTTTTAGTCATTGAAGTTGTAAAATGATAAAATGTTATGGAATGAGTAGGATCTTGAATAAGTCTATTCAGGATCCTTTTTGGCTCGTGGGTCTACACAGCAGCACCCTGACGGGAACTGTTGGCATGTCATTGGTTTCCTTTTGCTTAGGATTAGAATACTTTGTTACAATTCAAAGGAAGTTCTGATTTATTCTGAACAAAAGTGACATCTAAAGTAAGGGTAAGTACAAATTGGATGTCATGTCTAGCAGTCCTTAAAGGAATATATAGCCATTTTTAAACAAAGATTATCGTATGTTGCTATTATGCTCAGTTCTTGGAAATAATGTGATCATGTCACACTTGTGTGACAACTCCATTAATGCCACACCATATTTTAGCTGACAAAGTTCAGCCAAATTAATTTTGGCTAATGTTAATTTTTCTATACATGCTGTTTTTCTCTACAATGCGCACTGAACCTGCTCAAGGACACTTAGTTACATAAGCATCAAACCTCTGAGTTGACTGGAAATCTTGAATGTCCTGTACCAAAATGTCCATCCTCATTAAACCTGTTTCTGAAGACTCTTGTCTTCACTGACGGCATTGTTTACGATTAGATGGAAGCAATGTGTAGAAAGCAGTTACTACAAGCTCAAAGTCTTTGAGATGGCTTGATCTACACATCTTAAAGGTGATTGACAACAATGTGTCTCAGCTGTGTAATATTTTATCTTTTCAGTTTCAAAGTCAAACCATCACCACCACCTCTAAATGTGCACAGAATGAATTTCAGTGTCGCTGTTCTAAAAACTTTATCTCTGTTGGACTTGTCCATATTTAAAGGAGCTGCTGTAATAATAGCATTTGCTATTTTTCAGTAAATCTTTGCTACAAACGTAGCTTGCTGTTTGCATTTTAGGCCCATTTATATTTCTGTTTGTTTTATTGAAGCCTTGGGGAATGAATAGCTCCAAAATTATAAATAATCTCTGCAGCTGCTTAAAAAAGTGCCTTAAAATACTAAAGCTACCTGGGTACCCAACAGTTAAGTCAGGTTCTCTGGACGGTTTCTTTTTTTGTTGTTGAAATGTTTCATTCTTCATCCAAAGGACTTCATCAGTCCGAGGAGCCACAACAAACTCTGTCCCACAAGCAGCACACTCGCATAGTGGACCAACCAGTTTGATGGTGATAAGATTTCTGGAGTTTGCCCTCTCCCCCGTCGACTCCCGAGGGAGCAATAGCCAAAGTGGTTCAAAACATCACCTCCAGAAACCATCTTATCACCATCAAACTGGTTGGCCCACTATGTGAGTGTGCTGCTTGTGGGACAGAGTTTGTTGTGGCTCCTCTGACTGATGAAGTCCTTTAGATGAAGGACGAAACGTGTAAAAAAAAAAAAGAAACCGTCCAGAGGACCTGACTTAACTTTACTGGATATTTTACCTGGATTATTGAGGATGAGCTTTGATATTTGAGTATCACTGATGCAAAAATTTAAACATTTATTTTTTTATATAAAAAGGAAACCTTTGAACTTTAAAGTTGATATATAATCAGCTGAGCTTTATTGTGCTGTCCTCCAGCAGTCTTTTAAAACTTATAAGCCTTGTGTTTTTTTTTTTTTTTTTTGTCATTTCCGTCTGAAAAGCAGCAGCTGGCGGTCCCACGTTGTGCTGCCGAAGCTCTGGATGAGCTGCATGTCGCAGTGTCTCTCCAGGTGCTCTCTGGCATGTTCTGCTACATCCCCACGGATCTTCAGGGTCTTGAAGTGGTCAAAGTCTGAGCGGCCCAGCTTCCGCAACCGCCGGGCTGCAGAGCGGTAACACTTCCAGGGCTGAGCCTCCAGCAGGAGGTGCTGGCTAATGGAGGCCAGCTGTGAAAGCAGCTGCAGCAGACCTGCGTCTCCGTGGTTCAGGTGGACCCACATTGTGACTGCCAGGCACAGACAGAGGTGGAAGTGGGAGCAGCAGCGCTGTCTGAGATAGTCCTGCAGCTGGCCCATGTTCTTAGTGATATCCAGGTGCAGGAAGGTGATGCTGCTGTGCAGAGGGTTGATCTCCTGCGCTCGCTGAATAAGGGTTTCATCCAGGTCGAATCCCAGGAGATGAACTTTCTTTTTGTGCGTTGCCACCTCAGGCTGCTGCACAACATGGTTGTAGAAGGCCACACTTAGTTCCTGTAAGTCAAAGTTAAAAATAAATTAAACAACTGGTACTGATGCAGCACTAATTTCCACATACAGTTTGGTTTATTTACACTGCGATACAACATTGTAGAAAAACCTTAAGTTAATCCTTATTTATTTTACTTTTTGTCTATAAAACTCCAGCTTTTCTCAGAATATTTCAGTTATTCTCAAGCATATTTTCCAACTTTGTTGAAGGTCTTTCAAAGTCCGTCTCTGAAAATGGCCATTGTTCTTTTGTCCCCGTTTTTCTGTTTCTGTACCATTTTCAGAGATTTTTTTGTTTTGTTTCATGACTTAAAATTTAACAATTCATTAAATCATAAAAATACACCAAACAAACAACAACAAAAGAACCAGTGTTGATTTGACACATAACAGACAATCAAGCAAAGAACACATTTTAAATGTTTTAATCACTTAGCTACCAGTAGAGTGTTTAAAAAATAAAATTGTATTTATAACAATATGCTTAAAACAACAAATATGCACCAAAAATAATTGACAAATTGATAATGGATAATATAATAAAAACTTCACTTTTCCTGGCATTTGAACTGTATCTTAAAGTTGTGTACTTAAATACAACAAAAACTTATGTGGACCTGTAAGATCCATCTGGCTTAACTTTTCACTAAGATCTCATATGTTACCAGTGAAAGGTTTGTTGTCATTAAGGAATTAAAATACTGAAGATGAAAATATGTAGGTGCACCAAATTAGCACCAAAGAAAGACAAGTTTTATGGATAAAACATCAAAATGTTACATTTTTGAATTGATGTGTGGTCAAAATGAGATACTGACCACAATAAGCTTGCAAGAGAATATACTTATAATAAATTGCCTCTTAATACTACTACTACTACTACCACCACAACTACTACTACTACTACTACCACCACTACTACTACTACTACTACCACCACTACTACTACTACCACTACTACTACTACTACTACTACCACTTCTACTACCACTACTACTACTACTACTACTACCTCTACTACTACTACTACTATTATTATACTACTACTATTACCACTAATAATAATAATAATAATAATAATAATAATAGTACATTTAGCTCCTGCCTCTCCTGCAACATTTAGTTTTATACATATGAATGTGTGTTCTGTTTTGTAGCGTCTTTTTATTTCGACTGTAAATTAGATTTTTTTCTTTTTTGTATAAATAATTATGAATCCCATCTTTTTTTTGTTTGTTTGTTTTGTTTTTTGATAGAAGTAGTGCATCTCAGTCCCAGACTCACCCCCGAGTTACAGCCCACGTCCAGGACCAACGTGACATCGTCCTGGTCGTCATTGTGGCCTAAATCCCGCAGGAGGGTAGCGGGAATCAAACTCAAACGATTCTCCGGAGGGTTAAAGGTGTAATAGTTTCTAAAGTTTCCATAAGGCGCAGCTCCCGGCTCGTTTACTTCTTCCGTAGCTTCGCTACATGTTGCCATCGTAACGCGAGTGCCGACTAAATGCGTTCGGGTGGAAAAACAAGTGTGCCTGATAAATGTGTCCGGGTGGAAAATACGGACGCCTATCAAACTGACTTCCTACGTTTAATTTTTTTTGTTTTGTTTTTTAAGTAAAACTAAGTACACCGCTTTGAAATATGTAGGCATATTTTGTGACATAGATTTCCTTCAATAAAACGTAGAGACCAAGAGATACTTCAAGTGCTGCCTTAATGTGTGGTCAGAAAGTTTGAAAAAAAAAAAATCAAGAAAGAGGCTAACAACCTATGAACGTTCTTAAAACAATAAAAAAAAACCAACGTTATGGTCATTTCTAGCAGTACTAAAATGAATAAAACATCATTATTCTTTTATCGTTTGTTAGATGTGATGACTGGGGAAAAAAAAAAAAAGATGTGAGAATTGGATGCATTATACTTGTGTCCACTAGGTGGCAATCACGAGTCTACGTGAATACACAAAGTCAAGTCAGATTTATTTATAGAGCACATTTAAAACAGAAACTGTTACCGAAGTGCTTAACAAAAAATATCACATCAAATAAAAGTAACAAAATATATTTACAGCACATGGAATAAAAATATAAAACCGAAAACATAATTAGAAACATGAAATACTAAATCTGATCACGTTGTTTCAAAAGTCAAGGAAATAATAACAAAAAGCGTAAACTCAGTCAGAAAAAAATGAAATACTAAATCAGATCTGATGGCCTTGTGTTAAATAGGAATAATAACAAAAGCATAAACAGAATCAGCATCAATGAAAAACTAAATCTAAATCCGATCACCCTGTGTTAAATGTCAATGAGTATAGATGTGTTTTTAGGAGAGCTTTAAAAGCAGAGACTGAGGTGGCCTGTCGAATGTTGATGGGCAGATTGCTCCAGAGTTTAGGGCCCACGACTGAAAATGCTTGATCTCCTCTGAGCTTCAGCCTGGTTTTTGGTACGGCTAAAAGCAGCTGGTCTGATGATCTCAAAGCCCGAGAAGGAGCATAAGGATGAAGAAGGTCAGAGAGGTATGAGGGTGCAAGGCCGTTAATGCACTTGAATGTCAGCAGGATAATTTTAAAATTGATTCTGACACACACAGGAAGCCAGTGAAGGGAGGACAGAACTGGAGTAATGTGCTCAAACCTGTGAGTTCCTGTTAGTAGATGTGAAGTATAGAAAAGAGAGTGTAAGTTCTGTGAGATACCAATCATCAGACACCTGTGAGCAGAGCTTTAATAAAAGTGCATGAGCAGTAAAAGAGGACTGGTTCTTATCAAACACAAACATACAGTTCCCTCTTCAGGGTTCTCCACAGCGAGCCATCCTCCTCCATCTCACTCTGTCCTCTGTCCTCACCCCAACTACCTCCATGTCCTCTCTAACTGCATCCATACATCTCCTCTTTGCCTTTTTTCTGGCAGCTGCAGTTCTAATGTCCTACTAATATACACATTGTCCCTCCTCTGGTCCAAACCATCTCAGTCTGGTCTCTCTAACTTTAACTCCCAATTGTTCAACCTGCGCTGTACCTTTGATGATCTCATTCCTAATCTTATCCTTCCTTGTCACTCCTCAAGAGAATATGCTGGTGAAGATTCTCAGTCATCCAGGACATGATGAATTCATGAGGATGATGAGCGAAACGTCTTCTGTTACAAATAAAGTCCAGTTGTTTTTGTATTGAACGCTTTTTGAATTCCTCAAGAGAACCTCAATTTCTCCTACTTTCAGTTCTTTCTCCTGTTTTTTGTCAATGCCACTGTCTCCAGACCATTCAACATTGGTCTCACAACTGTTCATAACTGTAAACCCTGCTCCGATGCTTCAAGCCTTGCTGCCCTTCCACTTGGTCTCTTGGACACATCAAACATCTACCTTCCTTCTCTGCATCATGTCAGCCAGCTCTCTACCTTTGCCTGTCATTGGCTCCACATTTAGAGTTGCAACCATCAGTCCTACATTCTTGACATTTCCCTCCTTGTTGTCTTCAACTAACAATAGCACAATTTCCACCAGCGCCGTTTGTCAACGGCACCGATGGCGGTCGTTGTTAACCCGGGCCTCAACCGATCTGGTATGGTGTCACTTTGATGAACTCGTAGGATAGTTTTGACAAAAGTGTTTTAAGTTGGATGCGCTTTCTGACACAATCCTCACCATTTACTGGCTTGGGAGCAACACAAGAGATACACTGGCTTGTGCTCCCTAGTGGCTGGTTTATATCCATCCATCCATTATCTTTACCCGCTTATTCCATTTTGGGTCACGGGGGTCGCTGGTGCCCATGTCCAGCAATCACTGTGCGAGGGGCGGGGGACACCCTGGGCGGGTCGCAAGTCCATCACAGGGCCAGAGACAAACGAGACAAACAACCATTCACTCTCTCACTCACACCTAGGGACAATTTAGAGTTACCAATCAGCCTAACATGCATGTTTTTGGTCTGTGGGAGGAAACCGGAGTACCCGGAGAAAACCCACGCATGCACGGAGAGAACATGCAAACTCCACCCAGAAAGGCCCCTGGACCGGGGTTTGAACCAAGGACCTGCTCGCTGAGAGGCAGCAGCTCTACCAGTTGTGCCACCGTGCTGTCCTGGTTTATATCCATACATTATTAATAATTAATAATCTACTGATGTCAGTCACAAAACTCCTGGCAACACGAACTATGTACTTAATCAATGTACTTGATTAGACAGTATACGGTCTCTTACTCACCTGTATCATGAAGGACCCCACTCACCCAGCACATTCACTTTTTGCCCTGCTCCCCTCAGGCAGGAGGTTGAGGAGCAGTAAGTGTAGCACCACTAGACTGAGGAACAGCTTATACCCTGAAGTTGTTAGACTCATGAATCCCCAATCAGGATTATCACTGTGAATAAAAACAAAATCACTGTAATGCCACTTGATTATAAATGTGCTGCTGACTATGTTGCTGATCTCATGCTGCTGATTTATTTCATGCTGCTGTCTTCATTCGTACTCACCTGTTCACAGACTCATGTTCGTGCTGCTCTTGTTCGGCGTATTGTTTTTGTACTATTTGTGCTTATTTTAGCGTATTTCTTAATTCATATTTTAGATATTACTACTGTTTTTCTTTTACATTTTATACTTTTGTTGGATGCAACTGGGTCTCTGTGTACACAATTTCGTTCCACCACATGTACCACATGTGGTGCGAATGACAGCAAAGAACCTAGACTTGATAAATACCTGAGTAACTGTAGAGGACATGGTGCAGTACGTACTCCCTATCAGCAGGGGGTGCACAAGCCCTTCATCAGGTTTGTCCATCTGAGTTTCCGTACCTTATGAAAACGATTGTTAGCTTTCGGCTAGCAGATGTGTTGACATTGAGAACGATAACACTCACCTGTTTCTGTGCCTAAGGTAGGAACATACACACATTTTAAGAGCTTTTTTTGTTGTTGAATATACTCCTACCTCTGTTACATGTTCGTGCTCTTTTACACATTACGTGTCTTTTAGCTTGTTTTAGGACACCGCTTGACTCGTGTACCGACGTTTGATTTAGTGATAAATGTTGAGCCGAGTCCTGCTAATTCTGCGTAATTATTATTCTTTTTTATTAAATAACATAAGGCGTGAACATGATATAGAAGGTTACGTTTTTTTCTTGCTAATTGTGCAATGTTTAGTGCTACTCTTGTAAAAAAAATTTTTTTTACTTGAATCATGAAATTAATGTAAAATGTATTTTTCCTCTTAAATTTTTTTTCCCCATATTCATTTGACCAAAACAACCCTGCTTTCATTTAGTTTCGTGCTAAAGCCACTAAATTAAACTAAATACATAATGTACATCATCACTTCCTGTTTCTGTTACAAATAAAGTCCAGTTGTTTTTGTATTGAACGTTTTTTGAATTCATCATGTCCTGGATGACTGAGAATCTTCACCAGCATATCATCACTTTCTTTTTCCAGTTTGAAAAAGTTCTACTCCCTGGATGGAAATAACTGAACAAACTTACTATAGTAACATAATTTAAGATTTGAAAGCACGATTTGCTCATTACATTGTATATAGTTGAATAAAACGCCATTAGACTAATACTTAAATATTGGATTGTAAAAGATTTTTAGTCATAACATTTTATTTCCAGGACAATGTAAACGTTTATGAGTATTTTATTAGTCCATAAAAGTGTAAATGGTTGGGGGTGTCTCTCTTAAAAGTTGAGAACAGTTGCATTTGATGCTGCAGTTAATTAAAAGATTAAAACAGGTCTCTCTTGTAAATGAGTCCCAGAGGCTCAATGAGACTAAGCTGTGTAAATAAAGGTTGATTAAAAATACTACCCTCTAAAATGGTACATTTAGAAGTCAAATAAACTTTTTTCCAATCTGCTTTTCTTCCGGTTTCTGTCTTTTCAAGGTCCTCATCATGGTGTCAGCAAAGCGTCTGGCTGACATCAGCTACCGGGCTTTTTCTACCTCGATGATGCTGCTGACGGTGTATGGAGGCTACCTGTGTGCGATGCGAGGATATCGCTATTGGCAGAGGCAAAAACATCTGAAAATGGCTGCGGAGAACCAGGATCCTGAAATCATAAAAGACTGACATCTTTTTTTTTTTTGCACATATGTGGACGTTTCTCATTCCTCCTAACGTTTTGTCCATCTCTACATTGTAAAAAATGTCAAATCCTTCCTGGATCTTTGGGTGACATCCTGAAGGTTACGAACAAAATAAATTTGTATTTAAAAAACACATCTGAACAAATTAATTCAAAACGTTATTTGCATCGGCAGCCTGACACCGATCCATATTGAATGTTTCACAAGGGAAAATTGTTACATAATGCCTTAAACTAAAAAAAAAAATCTATTTTTCTTACAATATTTTTCAACAACTAAATGTTTGAAAATACATTTATACAAAGCACTCAATTGACAAAACTTTTCTTGTGGTCCTCAAACCTGGATTTGTGTACAGGCAGTGATAAAACAATTTCATACATTTTTGGTCTTGAAAGAAGTAAAAACAGTAAAACGAAACACAATGCGGCCAAATAATTTGGTTAGAGTAAATTCACAACATTGCAAAGGGCTGCTCCCTTATTGACGCCCACAGAGCAGTGCTCTGCTGATAAAAGCACAGAACTCACTTTTTTTCATATTAGCACGTCCTGATGATGCATGTTCAATAATCCAGGTTGATAAATATAACAAGTTTGAGTCAAGTCCTCTGGACGGGTTCTTCTTTGTTGAAACGTTTCGTCTTTTATCCAAAGAACTTACTCAGTCTGAGTATACATAGCGGCCATCAGGGCTCTTAGTTTGATGGTCCTCCTTTTCCATGTGAACAACTAGTATAAGATGTCAGCAGCAAACTGGTTCATCCACTATGAGAAGGTGCTGCTTATAAGACTTGAGTTTGTTGCGCTCCTCAGAATGAAGAAGTCTTTTGGATAAATGAAATGCTTCAACAAAGAAGCCGTCTACAGGACCTGACTCAACCTTAGATTTTAGCGCATGTATTGTCAGCTGTGGCATGTTGACTCCACAATCCAGTGTGAAAAAACCTTTTAAAACAAGTTAAATCTTATCAATAAAACTAGAACATTAAAACCAACGTCTGTAGTCAAAACTCAGCACAAGATCAATCCCAAGATTTGGAATGAGGCAGTGTATGCACATCACATCCTTGAACTGATTTTCATGTCATTTCAGCCTTTTCATGTCACCTTTGGAGTTCCGTGTCATTGCACGGCTCTCCACAGCTAACAGAGGCTGCATATCCATCAAACACAAGTGTGTGAACATGCGCTGTCAGTATAATATGTGGGAGTGAGTCTCGGTGAGAGGAACGTTCTCAAACTAAGCTCGGAGAAGCTGCGAGGAGCTGAACTGCAGGGGGGTTCCCGGCTTCAGGTCATCAGCTGCTGTGGTTCTGTGGTCGGGCTTTGGCTGCAGCACAGTGGCCGTTCGTGCCGTTTTCTCCCTTGGGGTTATGAAGGAAAGTCTTGGGCCCTTTTGTGGCCTTTTCAGACTCTTCTTCTGAGCTGCTCTCAATGTCACTACGGACGTCGTTACAAACCTGGGAGACAAAAGACGGATTTCTGGATTACTAACTTAGGCATTCAAAATTATAAAAAAAACTTTTTGTTTGTTATTCACTCAACAGAAACACCAACAGTTTAAAAGCTATTGGTTCATGTTTATAACTACAGATGCTAGTTGAGCAATGGACTGGAGTGACAGGAAGAGAGGAAAAATAGATACGGTAAGTCTATTTTCTTGCTGGTAGCAGTTGAGAGGACATTAAAATACCTGTATTACTAGGGATGCACGGTATTAGATTTTTGGCCGATGCCCGATACGTTAAAACATAGTTGGCCGACAACCAATACCAATATTTTTTTCCCCAGACCTACTTACAGAGACTACATAGCTTTCTCTGCTGTGGAATTAAAATACTACATGATTCTGAATGGTCTTTGCTAATTTGGCCTGCTACCAAATGCAGATGCTAAAAGTGAGGCTGAAAATGATGTCACACTTCAACTTGGACTATATTGTCAAATTTTGTTACTGGGTTGTCATCCAAAACATTGCCTTTATTTATATTATATTATATTATATTATATATATATATATATATATATATATATGTGTTATTTTGATGGAATGGTACCATGCCGATATACACTGTTTTTAAAATACCTACAGCTATTTGGAAATGCACTTATTGGATCTGACTGATCAATATTTGCTTCCTTATTACTTTAAGTTTAGCCTTGAACTTGTATCCAAGAGAAGAAATTCACTCTATTTAAACTTCTAACTGTGTACAGACTTAAATAAAACAGCACTGAAGAGTTATTAGAAAGTGTCGGGAAGCCCTGGGTTTTATTTTTTGCACCTAATTTGCCACAGGGTGGTGGTGTTGGAACAGTTCAGTCACACTCCTTACTAATCAGAAACAGTTAAGACATACCTGACATTCATGAAACTATCACAGCATTACTTATTGTTTACAGATCTCCTCCAGCTGCTGAATGTGAGGAGGGTTAAGTGCTCGATCTACTGCAACAGCTGCCTGATAAACGCCACTTCAACTGCACTTAATCTCAACAGAAATGAAACAGGACAGATGAGAGTTAAAGGTCATCACTGCAGAGGAAGTGAATGCAAACTTACAGCCAAACACAAGAGAAGAGGCAAAGTTGTCGAGCATACAGAGCAGATGCAGAGAAGTAAGAAAGTGGTGGAGGACTCATTGGACAAGGATAGACAGAAAGACAGGGTCTCCCTCTCTCATTCTGGAGGGAGAGGAAAGAAACTGGGTCTGCAGAAACAATGAAACAGAGACAAGGAAAGTGTGGAGGGGCTGGAAATCCACTAAAAATAGCAACATTTTGTAACCATTCAGAGGTCTTGCTGGGACTACCATTTATCTGCAAGCCTCCATTACAGCTGTGAGCACAGCTGGTAAGAAAAGTTCTTAACTCTGGGCCAAATACTGATCATTACAATTACAACTATTCAAACTCAGGTTACTTATTAGTGTAGTGGTTTATTGTAATGCTGTAGTTTGGCACATCTTTTGGAAAGAGTTACACCATGATTTGTACCAACTGGCATCTGTATCGACCACTGGGAAAAAAAAAACATGAGTTGCCATATACAGAACTTTAATCTACAGAATTAACATGTACAAACTACAACAAAATGAAACATACAGCACATGTTATGTTCAATGTAGTGAAGTGAATCTAACAAATGTGAGAAGATAATTACAGCTTTTGTAATGTTCATTACAAAATTTTTTTTAAAAAGCCCTGACCTGCAAAATCTCAAACTTCATTAAATGTAGCTCCGTTCCTGAGGGGCAATGTTTCCAAGTTTTTGAAAATATAAATAAACAGTGAAACTCTAATGCAAAATATATATATTTAGGTCTTTAGGAACAATATGCCCATTATTTCAGAGATGATTAACAAATGCAGTGAGGAGGACCTGAAAACTGTTGGTGTGACACTAACGGAGGCAGGCGGTGGGATGAGATGGAGGCTGATGGTGCGCTGTGGCGACTCCTGAAGGGAGCAGCTGAAAGATGGCGAAGACCAACAACATGCCCGTTCTGCTGACAGTGTTTCTGATATGCATCAGAGTTGGATAAAATATTTAACTTCTCTGAAAGGAGGTACATTCTGCTCCACATGTTGGTATTAAATTGACAAAGCAAGGGGAAGGGCAGCTGTGTCTGAGTGGTTAGAGCAGTTGTCCTTCAATGGGAGACTTGGGGGGGGTTCGATTCCATCATCAGTCACATGTAGCAGTGTCCCTGTGCAACACCCTGAACCCCTCACTGCCTCTGATGTGTGTCCCATCGGTGTATGAATGTGATAAAGCACTGATTAGTTTTTGTAGAGATCTAGTAGAGTGCTGTATGAATGGGTAAACGAGGGCACAGATTTTAGTGTAAAGCACTTTGAGTATCTAGATAAGATAGAAAGGTGCTATATAAGTACAGTTCATTTACCATAAAACACACCAAGCAGGGTTTTTCCTGCCTCACTTGCAGTTTTTGTCAAAACCATATGAATGAATAAATGGGGTGTAAACTGTAGGTAATTACAAGAGATATGTTCAAAACTCCAAACTGCAACAATATTTTATCTATTTTCTAATAAAGCAAATAGGTTTTCATATTTGAGAAGGGTAAGGTTGAATTTTTTAAGTGACTGTCATTATCTATACAACTCCCAAACATTTATAAGCAAATGTTCCTGCTGAAAAATAAGAAGTGTTAAAATGTTGCAGACAACTACAAAAACATACCTAAAATAGAAAATTTAATGATAGATTCAGTTTAATTCAATTATAAAGCAAGCAAGCTTGGGGATGACTGTCTTAATCTATTAAAATTCAAACTGTGTCAGTTATTTTAATATATATATATATATATATATATATATATATATATATATATATATATATATATATATATATTACAGCCAGATGCCAAATTTTCATGCATTTCCCTTAATTGCTTTCTTCAGTTAAAGCCCTCCAGGCTTTAGGAAAAGTTTACAGGTTTTTATTCTTACTTGGACAACGTTTTCTTTCTTGTTCATTTTCATTTTAGACCTTGTACCTAGACAATTTTAGTGTAATAAACCTTTTATTTGTTAAGCTTTATTGAAGCACCCTCTGAGTCCTGTAAAAGCGGAAGAGAAAAAGCAGCAAATGTGGATACTGAACTAAACAAAACAACTGAAAACTTCTTAAAAACCTGGGGAACTAGGGCTCAAAACTACTTTATAAATTAAAAGAAAGCAAAATAGGGACAGCTCAGATTTTTAGCACAACTGTTTATTTTTCCACTTAGAACTTGCCTTTAATCCCATCGAACAGAGATTCAGGTTGAATGAGGGACATCCATGTCCATTTGTGTCAATTTCATGTCTTTCCAGAAAATTCTTTCCCGAGTTCAGGTTCAGAATAAACTGGCAGCAGGACTCACAACGGGTTTAACGATCTTTGTGTCTTCTTATCATCTTATAGACGTTTAGTACTCTGAATAATAAAAGTTTTCCTGGAGGAATGTTTGACTTCTTGAACGCAGAGATTAAGACTAATTTTACAGTTTTTGTCTCTTGGAAGATTCTCAACAAGCTGTCATAATCTTAGTCAAGTGATTTAAAGCCTCTGTTTGACTCTTTTCGTAAAAGCCTGAAGAGAAGTCAGTAAATAACTTTTTTAGACAATTTCTTCCATCTCCAGATAAGAACTTTGGGTCTCATCCATAAGTATCACTAACTTGTTGGTTACCTTTCAAATAGTAAAAATAAAGTAAAATAGAAAATGTTTTGGTAATGGCTCCAGAAGATTTTCTGGTTTGGTATGTGATTGATACTGTATATATATATATAGTGTTATCAAAAGAACATGTCATACTTTTAAATCTAAATGTGCCAGAGGTGGGCACGTTTCAGCTAATCTGCTAATAGCAGAACTAACTTTTCGTTTAGCGGATTAGCATTTTCGCTAAATTTGAAAACCTATAGTGGAATTAGCTTATGCTAAATTTAAATCTGGTATGTTCAAGTCTGCTAATTTTTTTTTAAAGACAGATCTCCACACAAAAAGCACACAAGAAAACAGTGACTTACTTGGAGACATGCTATGCAATGCTAAGCACAACCCGGTGACGTCACCACCCTCGCAGTGATTTCCCCCCCTCATATCTACCGCAAACAGCCTGACCCACGGTGTCAGTTTACAGCTAATAACAGAGACTTTAACATAAATACTAAACCAGAAAAGGAAAATAACATGAAAAACCCATTTTCACACTCAGAAACATCATAAACAGTAATTCCTACCCAGCATGCTTAGGAATGCTCACATTGTCTCTGGGACGTGACTCTCTCACACATGATTTCACACATCTTTACTTCAATTCAAACTGATTTATTACTGAGAGAGAATATTGATGATGACGCACAGCAACGTTGTAGTTAATTTATAAACACAGCTAACCACAAAGACGACTGCCAAAAGTGAGTTAAGTCATTATAGAAAATTGCACGAGGGAGACGTCCGACACACATTGAATGCATCACTCTACTTCAGCACAGCAGAGTTCTGCTCCACCTCTTCGGTTCTGTTGGACCGAATTAGTGTACAGAGACAATTTCTGTTGTGAATTGGCACTATATAAATAAACTGAATTGAACTGAATGAATTTCTGAAAGCTCACCTCGGAACGGGACATGGATGCTTAACTTGTGGTTTATGAACCGTTTTGAGTTGTGTTCACTTACGTTGTCACGTTACAGACAGTCTTACGGTGTCAGCGACAGAAATGTATGATAAAAGTTAGCTCTTTAGTGTTAGCTTCAGATAATTTTTTAATATGTTTAGCATTAGCTTCAGCCAATTCTTATATATTTTTTATCCGTTTAGCAGTTTAGTGTTAGTGAAGCTATTTTTTTAATTAGCAAATTGGCAGCTAGCAAAGCTAACTTTTTGGTTAGCTGTACCCACCAATGGTCATGACTACCAACCGTTAAGTCTGTTCCATTTTAATCACAGAACAGTAAGATCCTTTAATTCAACTCCTTCTCTTGTGTGACTTAGCAAACCTGAAGCATGTGTCCGGTATATGGGTGCAGGATTTGTACATGATTCGATGATGAACACTTCCTGATTGAAGCTGTATGGCTCGTGGTTCAAATGTGAAATATAAAATAAAAATGTAAACTTCCTGTTTTGTGTTATTCCTTGCCACAACTTCTACAGACGCTCTGAGCTGTGCTGAACGTATGACCTGTTATAACAATCATTTCTTTTTTATTGTTTTTCTTTTAATGTTGTTGTGTGGACATCTGTGTGTATACTGATGATTAGAGAAAAAAAAATAATCAACAGATTCAAAGATAAATAAACCAAAACAACTGAATAGTGCTTTTACTTATCTCACCTTCCCTCGCATCATGGCTTTGAAAGCTATACGGAATATGAGGTAAGACCAGAAGACGTGTAGTACTTGGAGGACGAGCAGTAAGACGTTGAAGATCCACCAGGATGGAAATGGCCCAACAATGGCCCAGCTCTCAAACATAGTAGAGTTCAAGACCCTGTAAAAACAAACAGACAGACCAACAGTGTGAAGACGCATACATAAAAGTATCCCCCCATGGCAGCAAGGAAAAGAATAAGAAATGATCAAACTGTACTTGATACTGCTAAAAGACACTATCTGAATGAGGTACACTAGATTATATGTCTAACTTCGACGCCAAAATAAACCACACATCATTACTCCTTTAAATCCAGCTGAGTGACAAAAGGTTGTCAACAGAGCCATCTTCCCCTGCGCAGGTATGGATTTCAGTCCATGTAGCTCCACCAGCAACTCTAGCTTTTTCAATCATCCACACCAAGACACTGAATATAGCTGCTCAGGTTACTTTTACCAACGATAGCTCTGCTATTGTTTGTCTCTCTGGAGGCAGAGCTGCAACATTCAGGTCTCTCTCAAAGCATAGTTTTCACCTAAATGGCCCCCTATGCTAGAAATGTATATTTCCCTATAAACAATGGAATTAAAAAAAATAAATAAAAAAGTTTTTTGTATAGACAATATGTTTTGATCAAAATGGACAAATTCCTAATACCACAAAACTGACTAAAGAGATGTATTATTTAAGTCTGTGTCCTGTATCCTTATCAGACTTTTGTTGTGAATTTGTCCTATATAGATAAACTGAAATTAATTTAATATGCTGTTATGATCAGTTAAAAGTCTGCAAGTTGTACTATATATATATATATATATATATATATATATATATATATAAAAGCGGTGTATGTTCTATTTTTACAGCTATTGTAAGCAAAATACATGATTCACGTCAGTAACCTTTAACAACTTGGAGCTTTATTTTTAGGAAATGCGATATCTGGAAACACAAAACTTTTTCCATAGTCTCTATTGACTATACTTCTCTGAACCTGTAAAATAGTCAAATCCAAATTCATGTTTTTGAAAATTTTTCAAGACCGAGTAGGAACCTCAATTCTATTAAAAAGACAAATTCTTTAAAGAGCAAAGCAACAACAAATTGCTTACCCCTCCATTCAGAAGAGCATTTAAAAGTGAAGCTAAATATAAGACAGAGTTGTTGAAATAATAATGATTCACATGTTTCAGAATCAAACAATACTCACCATAGTGGATATATAACTAGTCGTGTGATAAAGAAAACCACACCAAACACAATGAAGAGGAAGTCACACAAGTGCTGATACTTGGCATAATTGGCCAGTTTGGCTGCCTGGTGGAGAACAAGAAAAAACAGAAACCAGCCATAATATTATTAGGCTTGTGAGGTAAACAAATGTTGTCCCGCACATCAACCATATCAAAACTTCGGCTTTAGATTCCAGTAAATACAACATGACTCATCCCTACTGATTCAGAAGCTTGTTAGTTATAATAAAGCACTGCAAAGGCTAAACGGAAAATTACTGAATATGACAGTCAAGGTTCCAAAGTTCATGCTCAACAATCCAGGTAAAAATCCAACAATGTTCAAGTCAGGTCATCTGGATGGTTGTTGTTTTTTTGCCGAGACGTTTTGTCCTTCATCCAAAGGACTTCTTCAATCTGAGGAGCCAACAATTAACCACAAGTAGCACACTCCCACAGTGGGAAAAAAACAGTTTGCTGGTGATAAGATGGCCTCCGGGGCTCTCCTCTGAGGCAGCCATGCCAAAGTGGTTCAAAACATCAAAGTTAACGGTCAAGGTTGTTTAGTTATTAATGGTTGTCACATCCTTCTTCTATTTTTGGCTTTTCCCTCTTCAGAGGTCTCTACAGCGAGTTATCCTCCTCCATCTTGCTCTGTCCTCTGCATCCTTTGCCCTCACTCCAACTACCTCCATGTCCTCTCTATCTCCTCTTTGTCTTTTTCCTGGCAGCTGCATTTCTAACATCCTTCTACCAATATACCCACTGTCCCTCCTCTGGACATGTCCAAACCATCTCAGTCTGGCCTCTCTAACTTTATCTCCCAGTTGTTCAACCTGTGCTGTACCTCTGATGGTCTCACTCCTAATCTTATCCATCCTTGTCACTCCTTAAGGAGAACCTCAACATCTTCATTTCTGTCTCCTGTCTTTTTGTCAATGTCACTGTCTCCAGACCATACAACATAGCTGGTCTCACCACTGTCTTGTAAACTTTTCCTTTGACCTTTGCTGACAACCTTTTGTCACAAATTAGGGCTGGGCCATATCATATTGTTCACAATAACACTGGTAAAAAAAAAAAGCTTGCCCAGGAAAATAAATAATATAATATGCTAATTTCATGACGTTATACATCAGGGCGCCCCATTAACAGAACCGAGCGCACCCAACGACCAAACCGAACTGCGCACCCCCCCTCCACCTGTAGGTACTGGCATAACGCTAATTAGTTGCGCGCAATACTAGCTAGCTAAAAAGCTAAAAAACAAACAACGCGCATCTCAGCAGTCTTCCCACCCTGCTCTAAGCTGCCGGTACAAATGCAGCTCGTCTTTTTTCCCTCTCCCCCCACCCCACTCTGAGCTGCCGGTACGAATACGCGCAACTCAACATTGTCTCTAGAGTTCCACAGTCGTTCCATAAATGGACCAAGAACAGAGTCAGGTGATCAGAGACAGAGCATCAGAGAAATGGAATCATTCCTGCAGGAACAGAGGAAGCTGAAACACCAACAAGCTTCAGGGTCAGCGGGACGCCTTGACAAGTTTTGGAAGTTATACCTCATTTAAAGGCAACATATATTTTGTTGTATGTTACATTTATGCTCAACATATCTTAAGCTTTAATTTTATTTAGTTATTTTGGGAAATTTCACCTGCACTTTAGTTTTTGTGGTGGATTTTGTTGATCTATATTTTGTGCAGACTTTTTCAATCTAAATAACAGAAGGATCTTTTTTTTTTAATATATATACTTGGAGACTGAAAACTTGACTAAATAAAGTAATTTCAGTAAAATTAACCCTTTTTATTTATATATAATACTGCAAAGCAACATGTTAAGTTAATTTTGTCAAATTAATAAGTATGATTTCTGTTTATTAGGGTTTTTTTTGTGTGTGTGTGGTTATATCACAAAATGTATCGTTATCGTCAGAATGCACTGAAATATCACAATACAATATTTGAGCCATATCATCCACCCCTATCGCAAATCACACTTGAAACATCCTAATACATATTTTTTTCTATTTCTAAATGCATTACTTTATAAAGATAATAGTGCTAACTCTTCCTCAGCGTTTCAAGTACCAGGCCGTGTTCTGACACAAAGTGGCCACACTACATTTAGAGGTTTTAAGCATCAGTTATAAATACAAAATGTCTGAACAAAAAAGCAAGTGAAGTAACAAGGGACGCCGTGCTTGTTTATGCAAAGACAAACAAAAACAATGTTGAGTTTCAAATCCATTCTCAGGGTGTGTGTGATCACTCTGAAAAAGGAAATTGTTTTAGATGGTTACTGACCTCCAGCAAGAAATCGGAGGCGTCGTGGACACACAGCACCAAGCTTCCCACCCGTGCCATGTTGTTGGCATAAGAGAAACTAATGAGGCCCACTGTTGCCAGGTGATGGATGAACATGATCAGGAAGTCCTGAAAATAAAAACCGAGGAAAGAGATGTTTAAAGTGCTGCACATAAACACTAAAAACTCCTCCTTTATAGATGGCAATCTTTTACAGGCTTCAAGTCTAAACTCTCATCAGCTGATTAGTTTCCATAAAAAGGTGGTTCAAGGATATACCGGTATGCCAAAAAAGCTTGAATGTAGAAGTTTATTTTATTTATTTTGTTGGTATGTATAATCATCATCGTCTTTTTCCATACAATGATGAAATTTGTAACCCATCACATGTGAGATACACCCAGGTGGAGCAGCGGGAAAAAAAAAACAGAAGAAGAAGTTGTAAACTAAACAAAAACGGTGTTTGCATGGAAATATTTATTTTTCAACACAGTGAAAAAGGTTCTAGGCAAAAAAAAAAAAAAAAAAGAATCACATTGTGTGAACCTGATAAACTGATGCATCATAAAAATCTCTTTAGGAGACAAAACTCATGCCAATTGTGAAGTACCACAACAGTGTCTTTAAAAAAAAAAAAAATTCTTTTGTCAAGTAGCTTTGATTTTAAACTTGTACGAATGACAAAAAAAACCCCACAGATTTGTAAAAAGTAGTTCTAAAGCCAATGTTGAAATAAAATGAATGCAGGTAGGTTGATCAGAGTATTTGAACATCACTATTAGGCCTGTCACAATAAAAAAAATTTGCTGGGCGATTAATTGTCTCAGAAATTATTGCGATAAATGATAATATTGTTTGAAATATGACCATAATTAGTCATTGTTAAATTTACGAAAAATATTGGTTAATTTTTGTGTATAGTACCTTTTTTGACCACTGGATGGCAGTATAAGACTGTCTGAATAGAAGGATGGCTAGTGAGGGAGCGAGCAGTGTGTTTCTTTAAGAAAAATGGGAGGGAGGCCCCTTGACATGACATGGGCTGTCTCTCCTTCCTGTTTTTCAGTTCTCAAAATGGAGGACCCTCGGTGTAGTTTAAGCTCTTTAGTATAGCATTTGTGACACAAAGCTTTTAATTAAAAAAATCAGTAAAGTTCTCAGCTTCTTTTTGCAGAGACAAACAACTTTTTACATGAAGGCACGGGTTTCAACCGTGAATTTTGGAGCTTTGACAAGACGGAGGTTTTTTCCCCCCAAGGTCGACCTCTTAGCTTAGCTCGTAGCTTTTAACGATCCAAAAACACGATTTTGGATCGTTAAAACTGATTTTAAAGAGAAAAGGGAAAGGGAGGGGTCAGTGAAAAGCACCGGAGTGGAGCCGTGTTGTCAGTAGAAGGAGAGAGACACGAAGAAACGATAAAGCCGATAAATGAAAATTAGGTCAATAGTTTTAATTTAACATGCAATTAATTAATTTATTGTTTATTGCGACAGGCCTAATCACTGTCATAGCACTCGTGAGTTTACTTCGATATAGGGCTGCAACAACGAATCGATAAAATCGATAAAAATCGATGATTAAAAGCGTTTGCAATGAATATCATTATTGATTCGTTGTGTCACGCAATTATGCGTCTTTCACGGCGCTGCAGAGCCGTTTTGTTCACCTGCAGTTCATTGTCAATGCTGTCTGACTGAATAAAGTTTGAAAAAAAACAACAACTCTGCAACGCGAGTTGAACAGAGCGAGGGGGGAGGCGGAAGCAGAGCAGAGGCTGTTTTCAATGGAAATTAAGTAAATTTTACAAATGACCAACACAGCAAAAACTGTTCAACTCAAGTCCTCCAAAGTGTGGGAGCGCTTCACAAAGATAAAAACTGAGAAACATGCAGCTTTGAAAAATGACGACACGACACGGGAGAACTACGCTGATGAAACGTAAACATGTCGGAGTCACGAGGAGGAGGAAGGAGCTGCAGCTGATACAACTCGTCTCACTCCCAACTCATGTTGCAGGTGAGTCTCTACAATTTAAAACATTGTTCTGTTTCCAAGAGAGAAAACGTAACGTCAGTCTCTCTGGTAGACGAAGCTGCTGCTTGTTTGATGATTAATGACGGCGATAGAGAACGTGTGTTACTTTTTATTTAATTTAATTGGTACAAGCAGTGTTTAAACGTGATTTATAAATAAATCTAACACAAAGATAATAATTTAATGATTAAGCTTCAACTTTTAATTTGCTGGCAAAGTCTGAAGACACTGCAGGTATGGCAGGATGAATTGCATTTAAACAGGAATTAAAGTAATTTATTACATCTACTCAAATGTGTGTAATTGTTTTTTATATGTGTGTGTGTGTGTTTAATTGCTCTTTTAGCTACTTTTGCCTGAACCTTGAGTTGCTGTAAATTATGCTATAATATATATTTACTGTCTCATTCCAGAAAACAACAACAAACAATGACAGCCTTCATGATGGACAGACATCATGGACACCACAGCAGCAGCTGTCTTCACTGAAACATCCTTAAATGATCGTCACTGACACGAGGCCTCTGTCGATGGTTGAAGACGAAGGCTTCACTACAACGATCCACACTTTTAATCCAGGTTACAATAATCCACACTTTTAATCCAGGTTACACTCTTCCCTCAAGGACACATTTTACAACGTAGCTACATATTGTGCAGGTATAAAGACACATTTGTATATATTTTTGTGTACAGTTATTTTTAAGCTATTTGACTAACTTTTATTTTTTTATTATTCAATATTTTACTAACAGAATAGTCAAATAGCAACCTGTTTTTTGTGTGAATTGCTATGTCAGTCAAATGTTCAATTTTGGAATAAAAGGGTGGAAATTAAAACGTTTTTTTTTCTTTTCCTCGATTCATCGATTAATCGGGGGGAAAAAAATCGGCTGATGGATCGATTATTGAAATAATCGTTAGTTGCAACCCTACTTTGATATATTTTATTGTTTTACTTTCTGTATGGTCATTGTAAGCAAGTATATCAGACTTTGTAACAGAAGAACAAAAGGTGCTAAAAAACAAGGATTTTATTACGCTGCAGTTTACATCCACACTTTCAGAAAGACCAGACCACTAAAGCTAAAATTTGACTTGGTGTTAGACACAGGAAGACTTGGACAGCCACACAAGATTTAGATAAAAGATTAACCAAGCAGAATTTCCAAGCTTGGCCAAAAGAGAAGCCATCTGACAGTGCAGTGAACCAACTGACAGCAGGACACTTCCAGCAAAAAGAGGCCTTCCCCTGATATGATTGAACCTAAACAATTTAATCATATCTCAATATACAACCCTTTGTTTTGAATAACAAATGATGTGGAACAAGGTGTTGTTGACTATTGTTACAATACCCTGAAGTCAAATACTAGATACAAAATAGTAAATATCCAGATATAAACCCAAAGAGCAGAAATGTGACTTAACTCTGAATAACACTGTTGATTAGAGATCCATTTAAAGTATATCCAAATACTTTACTTATGATTTGAAGCAAAAATAAGACAATAATGAGATTTCAAGAATTAACTAATAGCACTAGCTTTACTGAAAAAAAAAAAAGAGAAGCTAAGCAGAGGTTTACTGTTTCATCTAAACAACCTATAATAAATAAAATATGTATAAGAAAGTAAAATTACGCATCAGGATCCAGCTGTATAAAATATCAAAAGTCTGTGTTTGTTTTTGCTTCCAGGGTTGAAATGTTGTGGAATTTATGTAATTCTAACTGATTCAGGCCTGCTCCATCACATGACAGCGAGTGCCGTCATGCTGAAAATACAGAGCATTCACAGACCGAGCTGCATCAGCTGCAACCCGCCCCTTCAAAAAAACACGTGACCTCCCCACTAAATCAAAAGTAGGAGTCATTCTGATTCGTAATACATTCTGACTTGTGCACATTGAAAAATTCTGCATCACATGCCCCCTTTCCCTCACTCTCTGCCAGTGCCAAATGAGGAACAATAGACGTATTGACTAATGTTTAACAGGGTGTAGTCGCAGCAGAGGATCTAGTGGTTTAATGTAACAGGCGCTGAACTGGTGTCACGCTCACCTTCCTTTTTATGTCGATAAACTGGGAAAACATAAGAGACCAGTAGAAGGCCAGTTCAGTCACATAGTAGTGATAAAGACCAGGAGTCATGACCTGACGAGACAGAGTGCAGAGACGTGTTTAGACAAATGCATCAAACAACTTCATTCATTCTTAAGTGTTTAGTAGTAAAACTAAACTTGCTGAATACACAAAGTGAGAAAAGTGAAAAAACATGTGACCACTTCTGCTCAAACAAACCCCTTACACCACAACAACACACGTGCGTACTGCAGCAAAATGATGTTAAAATGACTGGACTGTGTGATGCTGCTCCCTGTGCTCAAGCTACATGACAGACATCATACATATCAGGGTGTCTGAGGATAGATATGGCAATGCAAATATTCCAGCGTAATGCTTCTGTTTTGTTCTTTAATGATCGATTTAAAGTCAAAATCATTCCTATATGTGTCCTTATTTACAGCTTGGCTACAACACATTCACAAATGTTCAAGGAAGATGATATATTTCCATTATCTTATAGTTTATATATGCATAAAGACCTACTGTATCCTAATGGTCACCGCAGGTGAAAGCAACATGCTTCACTATCCAAAACACTTGACGTTGATTTAAGAGCTCTTTGTAAAAGAGTCCCCGAGGCTCAGTGGGATTAACCTGTATAAATAAAGGTTGAATGAATGAAGAGCTAAATCTTTGAGGTGTTCTTTCATATGAACGGGCAAAGCAAACTCAGCTTCATTCTCACTGTCAGTTTGGAGGAATAAACAGAAATAGGTCTGCTTTTCATTGTCCAACTTGTCACGACATCAGTATGCACTGAAGAAGTGGAAATGGATTGAAGTAATCAAATACTGTCAACGTTTCTGTTATTACACATTGCTGTTTATTCAAGTGGAAGGTGTGACAGGAAAAAGATCAACACTGGCTGCCTTTGGGCACGTGGCTAACACTTTTGTTTGCCTAATCTAGTCCTGAATGGTAAGTAGACTGTATTTATATTGTGCTATTAACATCTTATCACTAAAAATGCAAGTCCCTTTTGTGTATTCACACACTCCTATGTGAACAGATCAGTGGTTCTGTGGCTTGTGATCTCGTCCCGTGTCATGAGTACGATAAATGACTACTTATTAAAAATGTTGGTTTAGGATTGATTGCGTGAAGGTGGGGTTGGTGTTGCGCCTCTTGTGCAATGTGTACAAGATTACAGTGGAGTACAGCTGCATCATACCTGATAGGGGTAACTGTACCAACAATGTCGTGTGTCCCACATCCATGGGGACTGAAAACACATGAGAAAACAATTGCTAATGAACATTACGTTGGTTTAGATCAGGACAAAAATAATCAGTGCTCTTCAAAGCTGGTGGGCTCACCTGCCAGAGAAACTGAAAGCCATAAATAAATACGCCCAAATAAAAAGTAAATCTCCACCTACAATAAGAGAAAAAAAATACAGTTTTTACAAAAGCATAAACGATAAAACAGTCGTCAAACAAAAGTCAGCAGAGAGGTTAGCTGTGGCCTCAAAAGGAATAAACCTACATGCTCTCGCAGAACTTTGTGTGTGTGCTGGGTTTGTCTTGGTTCCGGCGATGTCGGAACCAACGCTGGACTTTTCGTACATCCCAGTCCAACTGCTTGGACAGGCCATCTAGATGCCGGGAGTCGGGGTTCTGTCGCAAGAGAGAAGAAACGGCAAACAAATTCGTTTTGGAATAAAGATAAAGAAGAAGAAAAGAAGTTTCATCATCCTACCCAGCTCACAAATTATTGCAGATATGTTAACAATGCAGAATTTGGGCTCTGAACTCTTAGATGACATTGGATACTGTTAAAAAAAAAAACATGTTTCCATGCACATTTTTACATTAGTTAGAAAACATTTGATAATATTGGGCAGTTCAAATGTGTGAGGGTAATCAAATCACACTTAACTGTAAATGGTAAATAGACTACTTATATAGCGCCTTTCTATCTGATCAAGCTACTCAAAGCACTTTGCAACACAATCTGTGTTTACCTCCACACACACATCCACACACACTCTACTACGTCTCTACACAACTAAACAAACAAATCCTTCTATAGAGACTAATCAGTGCTTTAGATCACATTCATACACCGATGTAATGCAATTACACACATCGGAGGCAGTGAGGGGTTCAGCGTCTTACCCAGGGACACTTCAATATGTCACTGCAAAGAGGTAGGAATCAAACCCCCAACTCTCCCATTGGAAAGTGATTAATCTAACCACTCAGCCACAGCTGCCCCCAGTTGTGCCTAGCTTTACTTTTTCTTTTTCTTTAACGTTTTAGTTTAAACAAAACAAAAACAAATAGTGACATTTCATACAACCTAAAATGAATACAAGTAGCCTTTAAGAGAAGGAATGTCTCTCTTTCACTTTGTGCCAAATATTTAGTATTTAAAGTCGTTTAAAATCCAGGCAAAATTGTTACAGTTATAATAATTACTATATAACTGCAAAACCAGGACTGTTCTGAAAGCTCAGACACTTGAATTGATACATTGACACAGAAATGCCTAAAGTCTGCTGTTATTAGTCATGAACTAATCATTTGCACCCAACACAAACGTAAACACTTCTTGAAAGCAGGTAGAAGTCAGTCTAACCTTTGTGATGGAGGTAAACACCTTCTCCAACACTGCGTTGGGCTGGGCTCTTTTTCCAACACCTGCTGGGATGTGGAGACTTCGAGCACAGGCCCCAGCAATAAATCTGTGACAGAAGTCAGGAATGGAGTCACTTTGTGATGCTAAAACACAAATAAACGTATACATCTAGTTAAAAGTTCTGATTTAAGTTTATATTTGTCACATTTGTAGAAACAATGTTCTGGGAGCCATTGTGCTGCTGGATTACACAATTAAATCTGTGGCTAAGAGTTTTATACCTTATTGATGCTAAATATGGGAAAAATGATCAAATATTTACAAAGGTGCATAGTTGGGGCTGCTCAAAATGCTAGCAACGCATTGGTGCAATCTCTGATGGATTTCCAACAACAGTGAGGACGGGAGATTTCATTTCCAAGACAATATTGAAACAGGTTTGTTTACACAGTAATTTTATCCCCTGGTTCATACTGGCACAGCATAAATCTGCTCACCTAAATGGGAATACTAGTCCACAAGCTCATTCCCAGATTTGTTTCTGCAAAAAGAAACGTTTCAAGTTTGCTTCCATTTATAATAAGATAAATATCAAATCCAGCTGTTCTTGTTGTCCTGTACAACGTTAGAAAGATGTTTTCGTTTCATTTGCTTTTAGGAGCTCTTGATAAACTGCACACACCAGTCTGACTGTCTTTTTTTTTTTTTTTTGTAAAGGGGAAACTTTCATCCATAAACAAGTTTGAAAGAGTTACACTGTGTCAAAGACTTGAGCTATCTTTTGTTTTTCATACGCACTGCGCGAGAAAAAATTTAAACAAATGTACTGAAATATGTGAAAGCAAATAAATATAGTTTCGATTAAGGAATGGAGTTTGCTTTTAAAACAAGCCTCAACCTTTTAACATTTTAAACAGTCTGAACTCTTTAAAGCAAGTTTTTTTTTTTGTAAAATAATCTTCAGGAATGGTTCCCTGGATTTTCTGAAGAATGTGTCAGATTACACTAGCAGTCCCTCTGTTTGCGTTGTTGAAACTGACCCTAAATTCTTTATGATAAAGTTGGCGCTTGAGTTCTGAGGAAACCAGCCCATGACTGATAACGCTGGGCTGTGCCTTCTTTTTAACTTACACTTTCATTTCATGTGAAGTTTGTTTAGGCCTGTCACGATAACAAACATTGCTTGGAGATTAATTGTCTCAGAAATTATTGCGATAAACGATAATATTGTTTGAAATTTGACAATAATTAGTAATGTCAAATTTAAGAAAAAATGTTGGTTAATTTTGTGTGTAGTACCTTTTTTGACCACTAGATGGCAGTATAAGACTATGAACCGAAGGGTGGATAGTGAGGGAGCGAGCAGCGTGTCTCTTTAAGAAAAATAGGAGTTAAAAGAGGGGTCAGTGAAGAGCACCGGAGTTGAACCTTTTGTCATCCAGTGACTTCAGTAGAAAGAGAGAGAGACACGAAGAAATGATAAAGCTGATAAATGGAAATGAGATCATTTTCATTTATCATGCGATTCATTGATTTATTGTGACAGGCCTAGGTGTGTTTGACATCATTTTTAAGTTAGAATTGAAAACAGCTCACAATCAAATGCTTTCCAGATGTTACTGTGTGATGGATCTGCTACGACATAAGATTTGGTGACACGTCTTTACTAAATCCAGCAAAATTGTCAAAATAAATGTCTGATTATATTCTAATAGGTTAAATCATCTAATGCACTCAGACAGCTTCTCTGCTCTGATTAATGCTGGCACCTCAGTGTGATCAAACGCTCTTGATAAGCATGCCTGTTAAAAAGAAAATCTTCCACTTATTATCTTTTCCCCTTCTCACTTTGTTTCTGTCACGCATCAAAACTTTGCCCGACTGGTGTAAAAAAAAAATAAAAAAAAATGCAGTGAGTGGATACTTCACTCTTATCTTCACTGAACGATTCAGACTGATAAAACAGCTTGTTTTAGACAAATCACTCTCATTTAGTGCTCCACAAATTGTAACAACCTGATTTATTTATCAGTTATTCGTGGTAATAAGAAAAACAGCCAATTCTGTTGGGAAATTTCAGATCGTTGCCGTTTTACGATGAGCGCGTCCTTGAAGTTAAAATCTGCAGTTCGTCACAAACCTACCAGAAGTGCTTTGATGCATTCTGAGGAAAGCTGGGAGAAACATTTAAACCGTTTGTTTAACGTGAACCATTTTATGCTTCGTCATTTATGTTTTGTCACCCTCTCATAACTTTTTCCTTGTGCTATGAATCATTGTTTATATTAGGCAATGCAACAAGAAACAGGAGGTTTTACACCACATTCATACCTAAAACTCAAAGTGAAATCTAACTCTATTTAGCAGAGTTTAAAAAGTGACAATCATCTAGTTGCAAAATGAAAATAGACTAACGGTGATCAAAGCACTTGCAGTAATTGAAGGAATGCATATTGATCACCATTTGTCTTGCTACATGAAATTTTAGCTCACTTTCTGTAAAACTGCCTGAGTTACAGACATTTTTCTGTTGGATTATGCCCCAACATGGCTGTGATGGACATCTTAAATTGTAATGAATATCAGTTTATTCAAGGAGGATGCCCCGCCCTGTCAACAGAACCGAGCGCCCTCCCAAATATAATGGTATTAGCTAAAAGCAATACCTAAAAAGATAAGTTTTGGCTGCACAATGTCTCAGTGGTTAGCACTGTTGCCTCACAGCAAGAAGGTCCTGGGTTCAATCCCCAGTTGGACCTGGGGTCTTTCTGTGTGGAGTTTTAATGTTCTTCTTGTGTTTGCGTGGGTTTTCTCCAGGTACTCCAGTTTCCTCCCACAGCTCAAAAACATGCATGTTAGGCTGCCTTCAGACCCAGGCCTCCCTTGCAAAAGAGATCGGTGATCTCATTGGGATTTGCCTGGTTAAATAAAGGTTAATAAATAATATGTTTTAAGATCCTTTCTCAGAATCAGCTTTATTGTCATTGCACCGAAGCACAACAAAATTACATTTCAGTACAGCCCATCTGAAGAAACACAAAAAAACAACAGACAGGGTAGACGGGGTGTCTGAGGCTGCAGCCTCACTGAGAGGCGCTTCCTTTTTCATTAATTAGAAAAACGGGAACACGAGAGAAGAGGAGGTTAAAAAAAAAAACTCATATCCTCATATAACTCGTGTCCCTAACAGGACGCAGCGTGAGGCTGTAAACAATCCCAGCACAAATAAAGCAACAAACAGACTGGTGACATGAGGGAGGCCGGCGATTTTTGTTAGGATATGAGTGTGCAACATGTTTTTTTGAGAGCCACATCAAGATATTTAAAACAATCAAAATACATTTTCTTTGAGACGAATAAACTAGAAGAATTTTTTCAGGCTTTTATCATTTTGAAGCATAGTTAACATGCTTAATTTTTTTTTTTCAATTCTCTCTAAAACTCTTTAGGAATATAATACAAATTCATGTTTCTTTATTGTCATTCGCATCACATGTGGTACGTTAGGTGAAACAAAACTGTGTACTCAGAGTCCCAGTTACATGCAAAAATTGCAAAAATATAAAAAAGCAGTAGATAAGGCTCTAAGATATACGCTAAACGAACGCCAAACGATACAATAAAAGGTCCAAGCTATACGCCAAACACCAAGAATGTAAAATAATACATGCCTTCTGTAAACTGGCTCTTGTGACAAAATATTTGTTAGTGAATAAACAACACCAACAATGCAATGCACTCGACTCCAGGACACTGAAGCACAACCAAAACAAAAATAACAGAGAAGTCGGACAGTTCGGTTCTACGTGTCGTAATGTTGGTAAACATTACTTAGAGCAATCCACATTCTACTTTTTACATCCATGCTGAGCATTAAAACAATGCAAAAAAAAAACAACCCTGCAGCTATCAATGTTTAGCACTTTGACCACGTTTAACAATGAGACAGTGATGAATTGTGCAAGTTTGATTCATCCTGACCTGAACTTAAGTTCGACTTTCAGCAATCTTTCTATTAAATGATTACTCAGTCACATGCAGGAGTTAAAAAGACAAGCTGATGCAGGAAAAATACGGACAATGTCCTCGACTCCTCTCGTGGTCACAGGTCCAGATTTGTAGTGCTAATAGGCAGACAGCAGCAAAAGGAGGAGGTAAAGAATGAAATGTAAGCTAATCTAGTCATGTCAAATGTCAAAATGTCCCTGTTCTTTCTTAGAAACAAACCCCTCCAACATACACAAAGCCTGTTGCCAACAGACAGGCGTGGTGTGGTCTGTTTACACGGACACTTGTGGTCCTGACAGCTGTGAAGAGAAGAGCACCTAGCTGCTTACAAAGCCCAACGCTGGAAAACCTCCCAGGCCCATACGACCGAGGCACAGGCTTGGCTCTATTCATAGACCAGGGCTGGATTTAATGTGGCCTTCATTTGACTTGACTTTACATTTCAAAGCAGAACTGGGATGTTCTCAAGAGATAATGCCAACTTTTTTTTTTTTTTAACATAACGTACACAGCAAAGGAGCATGTGTATTGACATCAACATTTAGTTTTAACAATCTACACTTCACTTTCGTAAGAAGATAAAATATCTGTTAGTTCGCAAGGAAATATGACGGATGAGGCCACCAATAGTCTCACACACCTTACTTTATAGCTTGTTAAACCCTGACACGTGGTTTACTAGATGTAGAGCACGCACACAACGTAGCTCCATTGCAGGCATGCGCAAAGTCAGTGTCAGCAGCAAAACGATGATTATGAACAAACAAGAATGAACTGGATGAAGGGGCGGGGGGGGGGGGGGTGTCTGCACGCAACCAAGGAAGAAACAAAGATGGTGTCCTGCAAATATACTTGATTTAAAAAAAAAAGATGCAGTTACAGGATTGCACATTTTGTAGCCGTTAACAGAGCCCGGTTGTTGCAAGTCTTTGCTTGTTCTTAAAGGCATCTTTCAGCCCCGTTCAGAGTGTGGAAGGGCATTGCAGAATCAAAGAAATGACAACTGTGTTTGGTAGAACCTGTTCTGTCGTGCCCACTCCTCAACACGAACTACACACCCACTCACAGGAACACAACAGCCCCATCTATAAGGCCTAGCGTTCCTTGAAAGAATGCATATCGCCCGCTGCCTTTCATATTAAAGTTTTTGACTAAGATCATCTTATTGAGAAACGTCCTGATGCATGCTCAATAATCCAGGTAGATAAATCTAAGGCCTGTCACGAGAACAAATTTTGCTGGGCGATTAATTGTCTCGGAAATTATTGCGATAAACGATAATATTGTTTGAAATTTGACAATAATTAGTAATTATTGTCAAAGTTAAGAGGAAATGTTTAATTTGTTTTGAGTGTAGTACCTTTTTTCAACCACTGGATGGCAGTATAAGACTGTTTGAACTGAAAGATGGATAGTGAGGGAGCGAGCAGTGTCTCTTTTAAGAAAAAAAGGGAGGGAGGCCCCTTGAAGTGACATGGGCTGTCTCTCTTCGGTTCTCAAAATGGCAGACGATCGGACAATTTGAGCTCTTTAGCATAGCATTTGTCACACAAAGCTTTTAATAACAAAAATCAGTAAACAAGTTCTCAGCTTCTTTTTGCAGAGAAAAACAACTTTTTACACGAAGGCACAGATTTCAACCGTGAATTTTGGAACTTCAACAAGACAGAGGTTTTTTCCCCGAGGTCAGCCTGTTAGCTTAGCTTGTAGCTTAGCTTCTCAGCTTAGTAGTGGAAAGAGAGACATGATGAAACGATAAAGCTGATAAATGAAAAAAAGGTTGATAATTTTCATTTATAATGCGATTGATTGATTTATTGTTTATTGTGACTGGCCTAGTCAGACCCTCTGGACGGATTCTTCTTCGTTGTGACTTAAAGTGATCTTGGATTTTCAAGATCATTCAAGAAAATCCAAGCAACTCTGAGCAACTCTCAGCTACTACGCTGATGCATGCGCAATAATCCAGGTAGAAAAGTCAAAAAAAAATTAAGTCTGGTCCTCTGGACATTCAAAAAACAAAACAAAGCAAAAAAAAAAAAAAAAAAGTAGAAACGTTTTGTCTTTCATCCGAAAGACTTCTTCAGTCTGAGGCACCTCAGACAGCACCTCAGACTGAAGAAGTCTTCCGGATGAAAGATGATGTTTTTTTTAAATCTCAGCTACTACCACACCAAGTTTTAGCGTAATATCTGCTAAAATTGCTGCATCATTCCACATTGTGTTTTAAAAGGTAAGTTGGCTGTAGCAGACATGAATAAAGTAAAATCAGTTGTACAGGAGTGCATCTAATGATAATTTCCTGAAAGTTTCAATGAAATTCATCCAGTGGTTCATGAGATATTTTGCCAACAGAGTTAACAGTTGATGGTAAAATTATAAACAAAGTTCTTGTGCAATTTATTAGAGCGCTAAGCGATCAGTCTTAGCCACAACCGCACCAAATCTTAGGCCAATATCTGTAAAACTGATTTAGACATAGCCACTTCTGTGTTTTTTAAGGTCACTTGGCTGTCAGTCCAACAGTGATTTTACAGCTGTACGATACAAGAGCGAGACAAATACACATTTCACAGAAGTAAATTCCACGCACGCTCATAAAGTACTAGAGAACAAAGCACCGATGGGGAAATACGTATAAAACAGTTGAAATTCACTTGAAAGACAAGGCGGAAAAAAGGGAACAGCAGAGACAAAGTTATTCAAAACATTTAAAGCTTCACTTTGACTAGAGCTGATTTCAATAAAGCGTGTGTAATCAGGGAATGTGAAACTTGTGTTAGGACAGCAGAGCTAAAGTTACGCCTGCGTTTTAAGATCTCGATGATGTCGTTTGAAGACCTAGAAGCAGATTAAACATTAAACTTTTACAGGCATGTCCCTGGACGCCCCCCACTGCACATGACGTGTGTGAGGTGCGCTTTAATGCGTTGCAGTAAGAGACATAGGAACTGAAGCTGCAGCATGATGCATTCTTATGATAAATAAATAATTGGGGCTGTCTGGGGTCTCAGTCGGTGACTGGGAGTAATTGCTCTCTGATAATACCCCCCCCCCACACACACACACACATGAGGCTATACTCTATTGAAAACACCTTCACGTTACAGGGGCCAACTGGCAGCTTTGAAACCTGAAACAGGTGGTACCAAGCTCTGTGCATCTCACCGTCTCTTCTTAGACACCTCTAATATCTGATTGCTTCTTGCTTACAGCCACCTGATCACATCTAGATTAAAACAGCTTCACGTCGTGCTTCGGCTCGGTGCCGCCCTGAGGGGGTCAGGTCTAAAACCACTCTTGAGCAATAGCCTAAAATGAGAACACTGAAAAAAATGTTTGGTATGATAGATACTGTCAATCTACCGGACTGTTGAGGACCATGACTTGTTGTTTCAGTGTTCTGCTGTAGAGCGTGTACCAACAGAAGTGTACTTCCTGATGTGGGTTTCTGTTTGTTGTCACACCACTATCAGGTGTGTTTCAAACACAGATATTTTGCAGAAGAGAGCTGAAAACCTATTCACGTATTTTGTTTGCCATAAGTGAGTTTTCACTAGAAGAACTGGGATTCAAATTAAGTTCTGGAAAATAGTTCTGCACCCAAAATAGTCTCCACTGCACATGGTGGCAGCAAATGAGTTTGGGGGGTTTCTGAAGTTTGCAGGACACTGAGCAGTGATGGTAAACCTCAATCGGTTTTTGCATGAAATCTTGAGAAGACGTAACAGATCAGACTAAGTATTCATTTTAATTTGTTTTGCTTTGGACAATAATCAGAGGAAATTTCCATCAGTCATGTTTTCAAAATGTCAGTAGACCAGTTTGATTAGTTTACATGTGACTTGGAGTTTACGCTGTACAAGTGAAAGTTACACTTTTACACAGCAAGGCAAGTGTCAGGTCTAAAAACCAAGAAGTTGGTGAGAAACATTCCCTCAGTTTAGACAGAAATTGTTTTCTGCCATTCATGGAAAGTGAAAATTGTGGTTTACAAACCAGTGGTTCCCTTGTGACTGATGCACATGAAACTTTCAACTTCTGGCCAGGAAACGCCTCAAAACGTGGAAAAGCATGGCTCCATTCTTATCAACGTTATTATAGCAGTCAGTTTGGTATCGTTTCATCTTTATTTATGACACTCACTGCAAACTATAAAATAAAAAGATAAAGCATGTTATCCTGAGCAATATCAAACGGTGCATTTTGAACAAGTTTGCTGCTGTAGTTCTCCGGATAAATTGACGGGCAATTCTGAAACGCAGGTACGCGCTCAACGTCCACAAAGCACTGGACTGAATTTACCAACAATATAACTGAATCGGACAAATGTAGGATTTCAAACAAGACGTTTACGCGGAAATAGAAAAGCGAATCTGCTGCTAAAACGTGAAAGACAGCATACATGTATTTAATTTAAAGACACGTGTGTAGATTGTGTTTCTTATGTCATGCTCCTTTTTTTTTTGTATAGGTTTTCTTCACATGGCAACAAGGAAGAAGGCCAGACCGACAACGCTCAACAGCAACACATGAAACAAACCCATTCTGAAACATTTCAAAAAGTCTCCATGCTGGGTTCTTTGATGAAGCCTGATGCTGGCAAGAATCCAAACATGCAGGAAAAACCAAAGTGTAAGTGATGGAAGATCTATACAAAACTGAAGAGACAACCACGTTTAAGGTAATGTGATAAGATGAGTAGTTTACAGTAGTACACTTAAGACACAATACTATAACTTCCTACAAGGTGTATTTCCGGGAAGATAAGAGAATGTTCAAAAATACCCGATAAGATTCTCGATATCTCAAGAACTTCGTTTGTTGATTTTTGTGTTTTAGAGAGAGCTGCGCTGGTCCACCCACAGTACAGTTAGCTAACCCATCATCCGCTGAGGCGCAAACAATGTCATCAAAATAACCTTATTTGAACGATTTTGATAGGTTTCTCTTTCTAGTAAGAAAAAACACGCATAGTGAGCGCGAAATACGAACCTTTCGAAGAGTATCCGGACTGTAAAGATCCCCAGAGCCAGCGGTAAGGCGGCCAACAAGTGTCTAGCTTTGGGATACTCCACCCCGGGAGCTGGATCGGCCAGATCCGCCCAGGTTACGTTGTGTGGCAGCCAAAACCTCTCGTTCCAGAACCAGGCTGAGAGAGCAGCCATGTTTTACTGCCTTCCCGTCCCCGGATACTCGGAGGAAAGTCGTTTCTCTTCTGAAAGAGAGGCTACGTAAACTTGTTGGCGCTCTCTGCCTCCACACTGTACCACACACTTGTTTGACGATGTTGCCAGTCAACTTTAGCACCAACGTAAAGTCTGCGCGAGGACAGCTTCCACTTCCGGTTAAGACTTTCAAAACAAACGTTGTTTGTTGAGGGTCAACCTTTCGTGTATTTCACTATTACAAACTGTTGTGTGTGTTCACTTTATGTCGTTGTGCCATTCAGACTTTTTCAAGCTATTTTTTTTTTGTTTTTTTTTGTCATTAAATTCAAACTAAATCAGGATTATCACTGTGAAGAAAAGAAAAAAATCACTTCGATGCCACTTTGATTGGTGATATGTGCTGCTGATTATCCATGCTGCTGATTATTTCATGCTGCTCTTTTCATTCATGCTCATCTACTCACACAGACTCATTCATTCAACCTTTATTTATACAGGTTAATCCCACTGAGCCTCGGGGACTCATTTACAAGCGAGACTTGATTTTAACAGAGCGATGACAACAGTGGATAACAAAGACAACAATAGATAATCATAAAGGATGCATACACATTGAGACGAACAAGTGAAAATAAAATGGTATTAATGAAAAAATGTAACAAAAACAGCTAGGTTGTAAGGCGATGTAGAAAACTAAAAACAAGAACATGTCTGCACTGGTTTTCCCCTCATGTTCATGAGATCTCATGTGAGGTCTCATGTTCTCATGTTTGTGCTGCTGTTGTTCGGCATATTGTTTTGCACTATTAGTGTATTTCTTAGTTTAGCACATTTTTTTAGTTTATATCTTAAATCCTTGTTACTGTTTCTTTTTACATTATATGTTTATTATTGTTGGATGCAACTGGGACCCTGTGTACACAATTTCGTTCCACCGCATGTAACACATGTGATGTGAATGGTAATAAATATTGAACTTGAAATATAAAAAAGGTTATTCTGAATTAATATGAAATTGTGCATTTAGAGAGCATTCACTCAAGTTGTTTTCCAGATTAATGCAATTGCAAAATCCAGGTATGCACTCAATGCTGATTTATTACATGCTGCTGTGTTCATTCGTGCTCATCTGCTCACACAGACTCATGTTCGTGCTGTTGTTGTTCGGCATATTGTTTTTATAGTGCTGAGTGTTTTTTTCAGTCAACATTTTTCTTAGTTCATATCTTAGATCTTATTACTGGTTTTCTTTTACATTTTATACTTTTGTTGTATGTAACTGGGACCCTGTTTACACAATTTCATTCCACCACATGCACCACATGTGGTGCGAAAGACAAATAAAGAACCTTGAATCTTTGAATGTAAACATATCACTTTAATTTTAGACTTCACTTAACAAATCTGTGTGTATATATATATATATATATATATATATATATATATAGGGCAGCACGGTGGCGCAACTGGTAGAGCTGCTGCCTCTCAGCGAGCAGGTCCTTGGTTCAAACCCCGGTCCAGGGGCCTTTCTGGGTGGAGTTTGCATGTTCTCTCCGTGCATGCATGGGTTTTCTCCGGGTGCTCCGGTTTCCTCCCACAGACCAAAAACATGCATGTTAGGCTGATTGGTAATTCTAAATTGTCCCTAGGTGTGAGTGAGAGAGTGAATGGTTGTTTGTCTTGTTTGTCTCTATGTGGCCCTGTGATGGACTTGCGACCCGTCCAGGGTGTACCCCGCCCATCGCACAGTGATTGCTGGACATGGGCACCAGCGACCCCCATGACCCAAAATGGAATAAACGGGTAAAGATAATGGATGGATGGATGGATATATATATATGTTTTTATTTCAACATTTTTGTTTGTTTTTGATTGGTTTGACATATCAATCAGAAAAGCTCCAACTAGTCTACGACCAGAAGTTCCTAAATTGGAGGTTTGGACCCCACTCATTAAACACTGCATGGCAGTCGTGAGATGATCAAATCAAGCAGAAAAAGATTTTTTGAGTCAAAATTAATATAAAAAAATATATTTTTTTTTTGTGGTGCCAAATTTTTTTTGTTTACTGTCATTTTCACACTGTTTTTGTTTGTTTGTTTATTTTTTAAAATTCAAGTTGTTCTTATAATAACGACTCTCATTGACCTCCATTAAATTAAACAAGAGGTTAAATTTTTGTGCAACACCACGTTTTCCAGGACATCTATGATGCGAATTGTTATGGGAAAAGCAAACTTTCCCAGAAAGTGACTTTAGTTTTGAAAATTTAAAACAGCTGCAAAACGGTTTCCGGTTGTTTCCTGTACTTGACGGCGATTGGCTGCTGGCTCGAGACGAGGACAGGAATTGAGGAAGTGAGGTGAGTCCCGCCTCCTGAGCTGAAGGGATGGGCAACAAACACATGGCATCCATCTAAACTCATTTCAGTTTTTACTCAGGGAGTCCAACTACTTATAATATTTTAAAATATACATAACTATTGTATTTTAGTTGTTATAATGAATCTCAATTTATCAGCTTATTAATTAGTTCAAGAAAATAATTTTCAATGAGAGCTGAGGAGGAGGCAGGAAAAGATGAAACGGTGGTGAGTCCATGATTGATGTGATTGCACACCCAAGTGCTCAGTGAGTGAATTACAGCTATGTCGACAAATATACGACATATTAGTTATTTTAATTCAATTTCTCTACAATAAATCTCAATATTTGATTAAATAAAACTAGTTTCAAAGCTTTAAACCACTTGATAGGTCTAATTATTTATGCAAGTGCCTTGAAGAAGTATTCCAAAAGGAGCATCCATCTGTTTGTGTTGTCAAGTTGGCTTTAGGCAGCTGCAGTTCTGTCTGCTCTCTAATTATAGATGAACATTTGCCCCTTTGGAGGGTGTATTATTAGATGTCTCAGTGGACAGTTGACTCAATGGGCATTCAAGGGATCTCAGTTGGATAATCCAAGTTAAACAAGTGGAAATCCAAGTTTCTTCCCATACACACACAAGCAAAAAGACTTTTATTCTGTATTCACACATAAACACTGATGATTTTACACCATCTTGAATGAAAACTTGCAAGGCAGGATATGTGGAATTTCAATTCTGGGCCAGTGGAAACAGGCCGCCTGTGACTCACAAGCCCGGAACATACAAACCAAAGAGAAATCGTTGATAGAAATTCTGCAAAATGATTGACTTGGAAAAGAATCAAGAAAACAAACAGTTGTTTCAGTATGAGAAATGATTCTTAGTGAGCAGTGCAGGAAGTCACCTACGAGAACTGAGACGGAGACGAGTCGTGCGCTTAAAGAAAGGCTGATCTCAACGCTGGTGAAAATGGTAAAGGTGAAGCGTTTAGAGTAGCAGCCAGCCGGGCTCAACTCAGGTCAGGTTACGGCGACGCTGCTCTCCCAGTCTGTGTGAGTGGATCATGCAGGGCACCAGCAAATAAGACGCATTACCAAACACAAATTCTTAAAAGGTTTAATAAATTATTGAAAAATACATTTTGTAAAGTAAGTTTTTGCATTTTTTAAAATTAAAAACATCTAGTGGGAGTAGGTTTTGTTCAGTGCTTTGTTAAAACCCTCTTTTATTAATGGTATTTTTGTGACATTACATTTGACATTTACATCATTGTTATATAATCAGACCATGTGAGGCGCAGTGATTTAAAATCTAAAAATGGTTAAGACTTGGAAGAATTACGTAAGAATTTATCAATCAGTAAAAACCGAAACAGAATAAATGTTTCTGTCAGCAGTTCGGTTAGGGCAACGCTAGTCCTTGTTTTTTTTTTGGTGGGGAACCAAACTGACTTCACTAAGAAAAGAAACTTCACCCAAAGTGTCTCCTTCACTCACATCTTGGTGATACAGGAGCTCTAATGTAAAAGTCTTTCCCAGCTTCCATCCAGTCCATGATTCCTCATGTCAGAGTTTCACATGTGCTCTGGGTGGTTTTGCAAACACTTGATAAAATCTGTGACTGGGTGGCCATTGAAGCAGATCTCCTGAACAGCAGTGAAAAGAGGAAACCTGCGGTAAACAGAGAAAGGCTCAGTCAAAACAAAGTTGTGCTGGTCCTGTTATCCCATAACTGCATGAAGTTTTAAAATTATCATTCCAAAACTATTATAATGGGCATTTTTAAGTAAATCAATTCAGTTCAATCAAATGTTTGTTCTGCAAATAAAATCCCAGCTCAGAAGGGCTCTATTTGCATTAGAGTTAGTAAACTTTACATTTTTTTTACATTTCTTAAGTAAAGTGTATGACAGACTTACTTTTCCAACATGTTTTTCTGTTTTAAGATTACGTTGACCTCACTTGCTGTGGCCGGACCCTGGAGCTTCTGCCCATTGAGCAGCTCATTCTCCAACTGCTCAATGCTCTGAACAGAAAATGTGCTGCAGCAGTTTATATTTAAACACAAATGAGCAAAATAACAGATGAAGGAGATTAAAAACTGCTCCGTACTTTGCCCGTTTTAGCGAAAGCCTCTCCGATCTTGCGATTGCGTCCTCCGTAGCAGGTCGTGATGAGGTCAGCGACACCGCAGCTCTCCAGGAAGGTGGTGGGGGAGACGGGACAGTTTGTGCAGAAGACCTTGGCAAAGGCAATCATCTCCATCAGGCCGAGACGAATCACCGCAGCTTTGGTGTTGTCCCCAAATCCCAGGCCATCACAGAAACCTGCTCCCACTGCCACAATGTTCTGCAGAGAGGATAGAAGGTAAAAGTCAGAGACTGTTCCATTTACAATAATGCACATGGAAACTCGCATCCATAGAGAAAAATATATATATTTATTTTTAAAACAATTATCTCCAAGCTGCAGACACTCTCGACTGGTGCCTGCCTGCTAGATAAATCTCTTTGCTGTTTATGCATCCTGTTAAATATAATTAAAAAAAATTCTTACTTATGAAAAACAATAATAAATTACTGTAAATTAATTATCACCCACAGCCCAGGGTTAAGGCAGAGCTATAATGTTTTGGCCTTTGTGTGTGTGCATTCATACTCCGTTGTGCAAGTAGTAAATGTACAGGTGCTGGTCATAAAATAAGAATATCATGAAAAAGATGATTTTATTTCAGTAATTCCATTCAAAAAGTGAAACTTGTATATTATATTCATTCATTACACATAGACTGATATATTTCAAATGCTTATTTCTTTTAATGTTGATGATTATAACTGACAACTATTGAAAACCCCAAATTCAGTGTCTCACAGAATTAGAATATTGTGAAAAGGTTCAATATTGAAGACACCTGGTGCCACACTAATCAGCTAACTCAAAACGCTTGCAAAGGCCTTTAAATGGTCTCTCAGTCTAGTTATGTAGGCTACACAATCATGAAGAAGACTGCTGACTTGACACTTGTCCAAAAGACAACGATTGACACCTTGCACAAGGATAGCAAGACACAAAAGGCCATTGCTAAAGAGGCTGGCTGTTCACAGAGCTCTGTGTCCAAGTACATTAATAGACAGACGAAGAGAAGGAAAAGATGTGGTAGAAAAAATTGTACAAGCAATAAGGATAACCACACCCTGGAGAGGATGGTGGAACAAAACTCATTCCAAAATGTGGGGGAGATTCACAAAGAGTGGACTGCAGCTGGAGTCAGTACTTCAAGAACCATCACGCACAGACGTATGCAAGCCATGAGTTTCAGCTGTCACATTCCTTGTGTCAAGCCACTCTTGAACCAGAGACAGCGTCAGAAGTGTCTCGCTTGGGCTAAAGACAAAAAGGACTGGACTGCTGCTGAGTGGTCCAATGTTATGGTCTCTGATGAAAGTAAATTTAGCATTTCCTTTGGAAAGCAAGGTCCCAGAGTCTAGAGAAAGAGAGGAGAGGCACAGAATCCACATTGCTTCAGGTCCAGTGTCAAGTTTCCACAGTCAGCGATGGTTTGGGGTGCCATGTCATTTGCTGGTGTTAGTCCACTGTGTTTTCTGAGGTTCAAAGTCAACGCAGCCATCTACCAGGAAGTTTTAGAGCACTTCATGCTTCCTGCTGCTGACCAACTTTATGGAGATGCAGATTTCATTTTCTAACAGGACTTGGCACCTGCACACAGTGCCAAAGCTACCAGTACCTGGTTTAAGGACCATGGTATCCCTGTTCTTAACTGGCCAGCAAACTCGCCTGACCTTAACCCCATAGAAAATCTGTGGGGTATTGTGAAGAGGAACATGCGATACACCAGACCCAACAATTCAGAGGAGCTGAAGGCCACTATCAGAGCAACCTGGATTCTCATAACACCTGAGCAGTGCAACAGACTGATCGACTCCATGCCACGCTGCATTGCTGCAGTAATCCAGGCAAAAGGAGCCCAAATTAAGTACTGAGTGCAGTACATGCTCATACTTTTCATGTTCATACTTTTCATGTTCATACTTTTCAGTTGGCCAACATTTCTAAAAAATCGTGTTTTTTTTGGTCTTAAGTAATAATCTAATTTTCTGAGATACTGAATTTGGGGTTTTCATTAGTTGTCAGTTATTATCAACATTAAAAGAAATAAACGTTTGAAATATATCAGTCTGTGTGTAATGAATGAGGATAGTCTACAAGTTTCACTTTTTGAGTGGAATTACTGAAATAAATCATCTTTTTCATGATATTCTAGTTTTATGACCAGCACTTGTAAATCTACAACTGATTAACTTTAGGAGTCAGTCCATTTCAAGATGGCTGCCACAGCTAATCAACCTTACCCTTCAGAATGACTATAACAAAACATTTTACAAGTATTGAGCTAACATGACATTTTTTTTAATGACGTCATTTATTAAATTTGACCAAAGCAGCTATAACTTTACCCTTTATCAACATATGATGAATTTAGTCTAAAAGGTTGGGATAAAAGGCAGGAGGTGATAGGCAATCCTTTAAGGAACGCTCAGCCTTTATTTTGTAAAAGATTTTTGTTTAGTTGTGGGAGATTTTACAAATGTAAAAACATCTATTACGATAAATATGCATCTTTCCCGTTGTAATTATGTCTTTTAAGGACATTTTGTTTAAAGTAAAGATGAGTAAGGAAGAGAAACCTTGAGCGCCCCACAGATCTCCACCACATCAGACTCCTCCACCACAGTCACACGGAAGTTGGGGGTCTCCATCAGCTCCTTCAGCAGTGGTCCCACTACCTTGTCCCTGCACCCTGAAAGAACAAAACCGTCACCGCCTGTTGTTTATGTGCTTAAATCACACATTTTAGTTGAAAAATGTTCGGAGTGTCATGGGTTCAGATGGGACAAAAGATTTTCACCTAAATTATTGTAATTTCCACTACTCTTTTCACATGCTTTGGACACCGCGGCTAATTTATGTATTTTTTATAATATTTACAATATTTTTTTTTTCCACAGGCTAACAAGCTTGCTGCCAACAAAAACATTTACTTGTTGGGGTGGGTATTTGTGAGACAGACATAGTGAACGCCACAGCTATTCATGACAATTACTTACCTCACTCATGGTTACAATGTGGTACTGAATGGACTGACACATAATTAAAAAAATACACGTAGGCTACGATGAACAGACTAAGCACTAAAAAAAAAAAAAGGTGAAACAGCTAACTAACAGTTGCAAACTACCATACTCCAAATAATGGGATGAGTTTTGTTGAGGTGTCTATGATGATGATGATTAGGTAAAACAAAAATAGAGGCTAAAAAAAATAGTCTGAACTAAAAAGTCCTAATCTACAGCCTAAACTAAAAGCAAGAAGAGAATTAAACAGCTCACTGTGTCCTGTTTACATCAGGACACCTCCCTTACCAATTGTTGTTTCACAGAACTTCTCATCAGCAACCTCATTAGCGATGTTTGCACCCATGAGGACAGTCATGGTGATGCCCAGTCTTCCTCGGATGACCTCTGAGATGAGCTTCAGACCCTCGGGACCTGCATCTACACCCTGGAGTTTAATAAGCATTGAGTCAAACAAATCAAAGAAAATACATTTTATGGATCATTAGAAAATACTTCCAGTAGTTTACTGCAGATGTTTTAAAATGTGAGATGGACCTGTTCCATATCGGCTCACTGAGAGGGCCAATCCAGGAAGCTGTTTTTTTTTTGGATGGAGTGGGGGTGGCAAATTGGGGCCAAAGGCCATAACAGAGAGTTTTAGGAGTTTTATTCTTCATATCAAAGTCAAAGTTTCTTTGTTTGTCATTCCACCACATGTGGTACATGTGGTGTAACGCAATTGTGTACACAGGGTCCCAGTTACATCCAACAAAAGTATAACTTGTAAAAGAAAAACAATAATAAGGTCTAAGATATGAACTGAGAAACATGCTAAACTAAGAATACACTAAGCACTAATGGTACAAAAACAATACGCCGAACAACAGCAGCACGAACATGAGTGTGTGAGCAGATGAGTATGAATGAACACAGCAGTGTGAAATAAATCAGCAGCATAAGATCAGCAACATGATGGATAATCAGCAGCACATATCAACAACCAAGTGGCATTACAGTGATTTTTTTTTCACAGTGATTGTCCTGGTTAGAGATTTGTGAGTCTAACAGCCTCAGGGTAGAAGCTGTTCCTCAGTCTATGGGTTCTACACTTAATGCTCCTCAACCTCCTTCCTGAGAGGAGCGGGGAATAAGTGTGTGTGCTGAGTGAGTGGGGTTCTTCATGATGCAGGTGGCTCTCTTCCTGCATCTGGAGGTGTAGATGTATGTAATGGTGGGGAAACTGACTCCTATCATGTATCATATGTCATGTTTGAATTAGCATATTTTTTTTAAATGATGTAAAACTGATAATGATGCCTTTGGACAGAATGTTTTCATGGGATTTAGCTTTGTCTGTTTTCATTTGAACTAAAATTATTTGCAAATCTCACGACATAATTCATTCAGGAATTCAGTAGAACTACGATGAAGAGGTGTAAAGCTGTTGTAGCCAAACAACATGCAAAGACTTGATCTTTCATAAAAAAAAAAAAAAAAAAAAAAAAAAACAGATGACACTGAATCTCTTAATGACAGCAAAAATCTGGGATTATTGAAGAAGTGCAGAATAGATCAGCGAATACAAAATATCAAAAAGACCACCCCTTGTGTCATACACGCACACTCAATCAGAGAGGATGTACTGGGTCAAGACCCCAAGCCAGACTTCATGGCATCTTTGTTTTTATCTAGGTTCACAGATACCATGTCATGTCTTATGACACTGACTGTAAAAAAAATGCTACTCCAAAAGCAAAGGAGTAAACTAAGTCAAATGAAGAGGGGACCCCACACACACACACACACACTTTCTCTGCATGAATGCATGCAGTCCTTTTAGAAACTTTTGCTTGAGTCTGAGTTTGACCAACCTTGATGAGAGACATTCCAACAACATCTTTCTTTACGTGATCTTTGATGGTATCACACACTCTCCCGATGAACTGGTGAGGAACCACAAAGATCAGGATGTCCGCTCCTTTCACAGACTCAACCAGGTCTGGAACAGCCACCTGGTGACAAGACAGAAGACTCATTTTAGCAGCACCAAGCAGAGACACAACAGTGGATCTGGACCACCATGTTGAACTCTATTAACAGGTGAAGGTGCTTTCAGTTCAGGCTCACCACATTGGTTGGCAGCTTGTGACCTGGCAGGTATTTCACATTTTCATGGTCTGTGTTGATGATTTCTGAGAGTTTACGCTCATTCACCATCTCCTCAAACACCCACATATTTACTGTGGTGTTAAATTTGTCATATTTGGCTGCGTTGGCACCCACGATCTTGGCAATGGCAGATCCCCTGTGGACATGAGGACACATGAGTACTAGTCTGGGTTTGGAATACTGACTGGTTGAAGTTTATTATTCTTTAGAAAATATCGTTTTTTATCATTATGGACTAGCGGTAGAAATGTGCATTATTTAGTTTATCTGTAACATGTGCATTAATGCATTGCATTGCAATGTGCAGTATTTTATGATGTGCAATATTGCATAAGAAAAAGCCTCCATGTAAGAAGTTTGTGTATTTGTAAGTGTAATTATTTATCAAAAAATAAATTTAAAATTAAACAATTGTTTTGTAATTACTAGATATGCTTTAAGTAGAATGAAGAGTATTTGTGTACTTAAATAAGCTCAAACTCAAGTGCTAAACATGCACATTACAAAACAAATCCTCAAAATTGTATCTGCTAAAACATTTATAGTGGAAATAAAAGATAATAATTAAAAACAGGTATTCATTATATACACTTTAGTCAGGTCAAATTTCCTATTCTAGAAGTACACTGTCACATGTTTTTATTTTTATTTAGTGTGTTCATTTTAAAGTTATTTCTAATTTAAAGCCATGTGGAGAACTTTGTTTTCATATGATGTGAGGATCTCTTTACTCACATACTGATCCACCACTTTCAGAGTAAACACAGAACTAAAAAGTCCATTATCCTGAAGTTGTTGTTAAAAACAGAACAAGTTAAATCAATTTAAATACAGCACTGTGTTCCAAGATGAGCTTACTATGAACAAAAATAGCAACCTTAAAGAAAAGACTTGTTGGAGTTTAATTTTCTTTTAGAAACAATCAAATTTATAAATATATAAATAACTAAATAAATCTTAATTTTGACTACAAGTACACAATCATCATTCTTTTTGTTCCCATATTTTAAAATACTGTACATTTGAAATCTGTTTTTTTTTAAAGGTACTTAAAGCAAACTATAAAATCAAACATAAATAAAAGTTTATCTTGAATTATATCAAATGGAGTAATTTGAATGTTTCCACCAGTACTTTTCTAAATGTACCGATACGCAAATCTGAAATGCAGGTACACACTCAGTGTAAACAAAGCAGCCCGGCTGAATCTGCTGAAAACCACATGGATGCTTGAGTCACATGACTGTACTACTAGTCTGTGTAGGTAAACAAATATGGCGATTTGGACAAGCGTAGGACGTCAGAGAAGATGTTTAGAAGGAAATACAAAAGTGGATCTGCTGCTAAACGCATAAAAGAAAAACATATTTAGGATTTAGCATCACAAAGACAGCTCGACATAGTTTCAGTCACTTTCTGTTAAAGTAAACAAAAGTGGTAGTTGGTCACACATTTTGCCCAAAATTATTATTATTATTTTTTAGCAAAGAACCCATTGACACCGATATAAGGAAAACAAATTGTGCAATTAAGTTTATACTTTGGGATTTCTTAGTTCAGTCTTCATAACTTTCAATGAGGACCTTTAGTCTGATCGGTTGCAGCCTGAACCAGCAAACAGCAACTGTAAATGGAAAACTTTAACAACTTTAAAAGACCTAGTTAGCTGTTATCAGATTTCTTCACTGGAGAACATCAGTCAACAGGCACGAGGGCCCTATGATGGACAGAATTAACATCACACGACTTTAACGGTTTTTAAATACGTTCAGAATGTAAAATATTACACTTCAAAGCAGCAGTCCATTTCACAAGCCTACACTAACAGTTTAGTTAGAGCCAAAGTCATCTGTAATAATGATCGAAATACAATATTAATTAGTTACATGGTGACACTTCAACCATAGATGACCTTTTCTTCTTGCAATAGAAGATCTAATGTAATGAAGAAGCTGCATCCAGCACTGAGTAAATGTCAAACTGACTGAGGGACACCAACCACACGAAGGCCGATTCAGCAGATACAGCGTGGACTAAATGTCATCTTTAATAAAGATTTAAAAGTTAAGAATCCAAAGAGTCTGCAGCACTATAATGAAAATACTCTCTGCAGCCTTGCAACAAAAAGCAGGGGGTTTGGAAAGTTTGTCAATTATTTATCTGCTGGTAAAGTTGCACAAGTTTGCAAGTACAAAAGCTGCGTGCTGAATCTTATCCTCAGAACTACAAACCTCCCCCCCCGTCCTGTCTGAACTTTATTCTGTGCACAAAATCCTCCTCTCACCAGTTCCCGGAGCCGATCACACACGCTTTCTTGGGCGCTGCCATCGTGGGTTTGCAGCTGCTGCTGGAGCGAAGACGGATTGAGGAGCAGAACAAACTGGATTTATAGCAAAGTCCAGCTGAGGATCAGGAACACCTCCCTCTGCTGATGGTTGGTCTGCTCTGACCCCCCTCTCAGACTTTTAACTCTGCCTCTGTTCCAGAGGCGCAGCAGGAGGGTCCAGGATCCACAGGAGTCACAGGCCCCCTCTGTGGACCCCCAGAGTCTCTGATTTGGATTGAAGGGCCTTCGGAAACCAAAGATCACATCTCAGACGTGATTAAATCAGTTATTATCACTGAAAGTGACTAAAAAGATAAGAGATGATGGTGATGCATGATTATTTAAAGGCCTTTGATTTATTTTATGATGGAGCCCAGAGTGTTGTGAGACTTTCAGCTCAAACTTTAGCTTCATTTATGTAAAACTGAATGAATTTTAGCCTTTTTTTGTGTTTGCTAATGTTGACCATCTGTAGTGGCCCTGCTGAATTTAATTACCACCAAAAAGATTCATTAATTATTGTCTGAAAGTTTCATTAAAATTCATCCAGTGCCTCATCTTTTACTTGATTTAAACTCTTAGTTTATTAGTAAATATTGGATTTTGTGATACTCATGCCAGATTTGAGCACGTTTGAAAAACAAAGTCATTTTCTTTGTTTTTCCAAGCTCAATTGGTCACGGTGGCCATCTTGAGTTGGCTCCAAAACTTAATCAGTTGCTGATGTAGATCAAAAGACATTTCCTGAAGGTTTATTAAAATCTGTACAGCGGCTCATGTATTTTGCTACCAGACAAGAGTTGACTCCACAGGTGTTGGGGCAGGGCAGCCGACTCGGGACCCGAAGGTCCTGGGTTTGATCCCCGGTCATTGCACATCTCGTGGTGTGTCTGAGCAGGACACCCAATCCCAAATTGCTCCCCGGGCGCTTACATAGCTGTCCACTGCTCCACCTGGGTGTATCCCAGGTGCAATGGGATAAATGCAGAGACAATTTCGTATTTGTATAGGAATATACAATGATGACAACACATAGCACTTTAATTAATTAAAAGCTCTTGCACAATCCGAGCTCAGAATTTGTGTTGGGGATCAGTCTCAGCAACTACCACACCCTAGTTTAGGTCAGTATCCACAAGACTGATTGAATTATAGCCAGAAATGTAGTGTAGCAGACCTACAGTCTTGAGCTCTTGTGATAAATAAATCAAATGATTAATTCAACAAGCAGTCATGTTACTGTAATAACAAAGGTGCATGGTTACATTTTAAACCCAAGATCAATGAACTAGATTGACTTGACCTCTTAGAAAAGTTATTCACATTTCAAGCAGCTGTTTCAACCAATTTCAATCTACAGAGAAAAGTATTCTACTCTTATTATTTTTGATTGGGATAAAGATGGATGGCTCTCATAGGTGGAGCCTCAAGACAGAAAATATTTTAATAGAAAAAAAATGTTCATCTCACATTTAAATCCTTTAGGTGCATTCAAAGTTTCACCAATATGGTGATGGTAGTTTAAAAGAATAGGAGACAGAATTTTCACATATTCTTTATTATAACATAAGAACATACAGAAAAATAGGTTTGGTCCATGAAAAAAAGTCTGCAGATCCACATAATTCTACGAGCCACCCAATTGTTTCACATCCCAGAGGTTCTCCAACGATCACATAACCACGTCTCTGTCCAAACCCACATTAGTGTATTCTTGGCATTTATTAATTAAAAAACACAGCAACACACTCATCTCAACCTCCAACAGGATTAAACCCAGACACACCAGGTCTTTAGTCAGTATATAAAGAAACTACAGCTCCTTGAACCTCCACTGCTTCTCTGCACAAAAACATAAAATTTGAATTAAACTTAAATGTGACACAAATCTGACCACATGTTGTACAGAGGTGTGGTTCCTTTAACATGATGGTCAAATTTACACAAAGAGCCAAATCACTGCACCGAGAGAAACGGGTTGATAAATATAAATACTGCTTTAACTATCAGATCGTAGACAAAAACCTAAGAAAAAGATTGCCCACCTTTAGAGATCAATTTCACATCCATCTGAAGTGTTTTTGCTTAGTATTTACAAAACTATATAGACTAGATACTCATACTAGCTACTTTTATGATTATTTGAACTAGCTAACAATTATGGATGTAATACATTTTATAAAACAAAGCTCACTAATAGTAAAAGATGAAAACTTCATATCAAATGGTCATGTGAACAAAAGAGAACCGCTGTGCCAGAACAGTCTGCTGTGATTCATTGAGCTTTAAAACGCTGCTTATACAGACTGTGACACTGTCAAAACAAATACAACGAAACAAAGTGAGAAATAAACAGCCAATACGCAGCAACAACTCCAGCTGGTCACAAACACGATCACTATCAATATTTACCTCAATGGGAAAATATATAGACAATGGTTAGGAGAAAATGTAACCTTTCTCTTTGTCAAATAGAAACAAAAACTGAGGGTTCAATGCTTTTTTCTTGTTTTAGAGAAACATTACATTTAAAGTGTCTAGATACAATCTGCCATCAGTTTTTTTTTCCATTTGTTTACAATCTGTACTTTAGAGTAGACAGTGTATTAAATGAAAGGAATGCCTGAAGGTTAAGACATGCTAAAGAAAATAACATAAAATGCTCAGGAAAAAATAAAATAAAATGCTCAGAAAACTTTAATATATAAAAAAGGAAAAACTTGCAGAAAATTTAAATGAACCTAAAATTATTCTTGAACCGAATGGTGAAAAAAAAAAAAAAAAAAAACCTGACATCCTAATTTAACAGTAAAGTCATCTAGCATTGAGGTGTCTGAAAACTGTAAGAACTTCAGTTTGAACATCCCACACACACCAACTCACACACACACACACACACACACATTATCCCACAACACAACTCCTCATCTGTCTTCATAGGACGTTTTGTGGACAAACTTCTTCAAGTGTTCCTGATGCCGAGCGCCTGCTCCAGCTCCTGTCGCCTCTGCTGGACCTGAAAGACGGTTTTACGCGAAAGGGAATTTTATTAAAAACAGTCAATAACAGACAAAGGAGGCACATTCAGACTGCACTTCAGGTACTGCTCATTACTGTTGTTGTTGCTCTGGAATTGCTGGAGTCAGTTTCTGCCATTACAGTTTATTTTGAAAGGATAATAAAGTATAATCAATGGCCAAAGGTGAGCTCAGCTTTAAAGTCAGAATAAGAGCACCCCTTCCACACTGATCCATTAGACAGATGTAATTTGAGGAATATGAAGATTCCAGGTTAGCATATTTAGCATCAGCACCAAAAGCTTCTGTTTCATTAGGTTTTTCAGCTGCAGGACTGAGGGCGAGTACATTTTAATTTACTACAAGACCAAACTGTGTGGACACACATTTATTTAAGCGCAAACACGCAACAGGTAATGGTCCTAAACAACGTTTCCTCTACCATTATCCAAGGAGCGTGCCCCACCCTGTCAACTGAATCGAGTGCCCTGCCTACAGACACCCCCCCCCCCCCCCCCCACTGCAGCAAGTTCCGCTAACAGTCGGGGAGCAGACCGGTCACCACGGGGTAAGTGCCTTTGATCTAGCATTAGGAATCTAATGCTCTGCAAAAATAAATAAAATAAAAAGTTAATGTTCTTCTGGCTTTCATCGTAATGTAAACAAATACCCCCCCCCCCATTTTTGATTTTTAATGATAAATTTGTTAAGACTCATAAAATAATCGACCAACTGTGGGACTTTTCAATAACTAATCAATGAATATTACAAAGGCTAATGACTATATCTTTACAGCTAATGTGAAAAATATATATATATTTCTGAATTTAAGAGACAAGATCCATGAAGAAAATGCAAAATAAATCAATTGTTTGCAAAAGTTTAAACAAATTTATAATAAGAAAACAATTTTAAACAAAATTCAAAACAAAACCATCCTAATACTGGTACATTGTTCCTGTTACAAAGATCTTGACAACGTGAAAAAAAAAAAAAAAAAATTAATTTACTTTGGAGTAGAAGTAGCGACAGACGGCCTCCTGAGCCCAAGGCTGGTAGTAAAACTCTGCTCTTCGCTCCTCTTCTGGGTTTCCCACCACATCAGTCATAGTCTGTAAGCAAAACAGTATTACTGAAGCAGTCCCAGCCTAAACTTGAAACATAAATGATAAACGGCACAAGGTCTCCAGTAAAACGGACGGGCAAGCTTCTGGGAAAGCAACCAGCAAGCTGAGAATGGAATTTGCTGTTTTCCAAACTCAACAGAACAAACAGTGAAGGTGCGCGAAGGTCCAAGGTCAGGGAATGATTGTCGTTAAGGAAAGTTTCAAACCTTTATGTAGGACTAACACTATTAAACCTGTACATTTCTACAAGATATTTCACATTTTTTAGGTTTGTTGTTTTGACTTCTTTAAATGTACCTGATTTGGATTCGAGCATGAAGCTTTTTGATGCTTGTAGGGTTCTCAACAATCAGCTTATCATTAATCCGTTGTTATCCAGAGGAGATTTTGTTTTTGCATGACATACTTCAGCAGAAACAGTCACAATTTCATACTATTCCACAAGTGTCAACCCTTCAAATCCAAATCCAGTCTAATTTTTTTTGCTCAACAATTAATGGATGAAAAATACATTTGACTCCCACAAAACAGACACACACAAAAAAAGGAAAATACCAGGAAAAATGTTTTTTTTTTGTTTTTCACCTGAGAACGAAGTGGGCAAACACTTCCAGCTCAAAACACAATCACTTTTAAGCAAGCGTCCACAATTTCTCGTGTGATTGATTTACTGCTTCACAGTCAGATTTTGATCAACTATAGATGACGAGACGAAAAATGTTGACTGATCAATTCAAACATTTTTGTCAGCTGACAGGATCAGTAATGAATTAAACATTTTCAGAACTGAGACACACACATGCACTTGAGTTCTGAATTTTTCATCCAAATTTATTCAGACATTAAAATAAATATTAGTAATATAAATTAGCCTCTTTAAAACATTTTGATATTTTTTAATTATTGATTAGTTTAACCAGTCAAATTTTACATTAAAAATGTTATAAACTAAAAGATAAACGTTTGTTGTACAAAATTACATGAGCACTGGAAAACCAGATTATACAGGAAATCAATGTGATAAGCAGAAAATGGTCATTTAAGAGAATGATCTTAATTTTAAATGGTATTCAGCTTGTGACTGCACATTGATAGACTGAAGCTAAAGACCCCATAAAATGATCATGAATAGAATAAACTTGTCCAAAGTTCTCAAGGTTTTACAGATTTTGAGGCCAATATAAAATAATAAAATCAATCACTTATTTGCCAAGAAAAAATATAAGATCTTCTTTAAAAGCTGGAAAAAGTGAAATGAATGTCGTATATAAACAAACAGTAAAAATTATTCTTAAAGAGACAACATTTGGTGATTAAAAAAAATGAGTCATGCCTCATGATTGTTATGTTGATTACAGCTCTTTTAATAATGCTGTCAGTGGAGAAACAGGCATGGCTGCATCAATTTTTAAACTATAAGGGATGTTTTTTTTTATTATTGCACAGTTATATATATATATAAAAGCTTCACTCAGCCATTACTTTATTGAAAGACTGACAGTAAACTTCAGGAAAATAAAAAAGGCCTTTGAATTCAAACATATGCTATGTAACATATACGAGTGCTGACGGTGGATTTATTTTAAATCCTGAAAAACCACAGTATGTGATGTGGACCCAAAACAAATATTCTCTCTGGGGTCTCGGAAGACAAACCCACCTTCAGGTCTCTGCACTGGGACTGAAGCCAGTCGTTGATAAATCCCTGAGGATCTCTGGCAAAACTCAACATGAACTCCCTTTGGGTTTTCAGTTGGTTGATAGTCTCAATAGTTTCATGGATCTGAGAAAAACAGAAGAAAGGGCTCATCACAAAGTGATTAATGATCTACATATTTGATGAGGACAATCAAAGAGCATGTCACTGATTATCTGAGGACAACAGTTTCTTTAGAAACTATTTTCTATAAGAAATTTCCTGAGTCAAAACTGTGTTACACCCAGGCACTTTCTTGATATCTTTTTAAAAATAGTTTTCCTAATTTCGTAGCATTTTAAGTACTGGTAAATGCTGTGTACACAGAAAACAGTCATCAGTCTTGTCTGTGATAATCCTTTCCCTTTCATACATTTAAAACTGTATAACAAATCAGTTCATATAAATATGTTTTAGGTGTTGATATAAAGCCCCAAATAATCTATATTAACAAGATATACCCAGTACTTTAAAAGTGAGACATAACTAATGGTTTAGAGTTAGTAAAGTGCAAACAAAAACAAACGGCAGAGAAAATCTCCAAAATGTAAACCCAGAAAAGTTATAAGACACGGACTGTTGAGCTGTGCAGAAAACAAGATGCATACTAGCAATCCTTACCAAAACCATAATACTGTTACACAGTGGCGCCTGTAAACTGTATTTACATAGTGCACGAGAACAAAGACTACACAGAAGGATGTCCTTCAGCAGGAAGGCTTTGTACCTTAGGAATATGAGTAAAAGACCTCACAGCCAAAGTAATGTCTGCTAGCTGGAGATCAACAACACCTGACCCAAAAACTAGGAAGAAAAAGCGCAATAGTGTACAGGCAGCTATTTGAACAAGTGTGTGAAGTTCTCTACAGGAGAGGCTCACAAATTGAAAAAATGTTAGGTGAATTAAAAAAAAAACATTTATTTTGACAACTTTAAAAAGGAAAGGCTTTTTTTTTTTTACAAAGATAAATAAACTATGACTCTTTAAATCAGACGCCAACATCACATAAGATTTTGATAATCTTGTGTAAGGATCAAAGCACCACAAAAACAGCCAAGAAACACTAATCCTACGGTGGACACGACTTTTTCAGAAAGTACCTCGGGCAAACATTAAACCAGAAAAAGGTGTAGGAGAACTGCTGAGGTCTGCACCTTGTTATCCAGTCCTGCTATTTCCTGCTGGCTGGCTGTGGACAGCAGGAAGGAGTTCATCTGGGTCTTCAGTGTGTCGTCCACCTCTACGTCAATGTCATAACAAGCCGTCTTCTTTTGGTCATTAGGATCCACACTGGTGGATTAAAAAGTTTTGACAAGATTTGATACAGATATAGAAATTATTTAAATAAGATAAGACCTCAAAATATTTACATCTTAGTTATAAGCTATAGTGGCCAGCTCTATTTGTGCCCATACTTAAGCTAACTTGCATGCTGTTCAAAGAGCTGAAAATTATGCACAAATAGTGGATTTTGTAAGATTGCTACTGCTACTTTAACGAAAAGGGTTTCATTTAGATGTCAAGCTGGAACCTTCCATTATTATTGCATCATCTGAAACCAGTTCATGTCCAACAGGAACATTTTTTCTTTTTAATTTAACAATTTCATTCATCATGTTAATGTAATTACCTGATCACATGATTTATGATGATGGGTTCTGGAGGCATCAGCAGTGCATGCAAGCGCTGTGGGATTTCAGAAAACTTCATTCGCTGAGTCTCAAAAATCTGCAAAATAAACAACTTCCGTTATTGTGATCATTTAATTTAAATATTGCACAAAAAAAAAAAATGTGTGAATGTGCTGGTCTAAATCATCCAACAGTTGTAGATGAAGTTTTTGTTTATATAAAGAATATGTGACTACATCATATCAACCGTGTAACTCACTTTTTTAAGAAAATGTGTTTTTATGCAACTAGCATACTGGTAATGGTGTCAAATCCTGGTCCTCATGGACCATGATAATGCACGTTTTAGTTGTTTCCCTGCTAATCAGCATGTACTTAAGTTCTGCAGAAGCCTGTCAAGTCACTCATTCACTTAAATTAGTAGTGTCAAAAGAAAAACATAAAAAAATGTGCAGGATAGTGACCATCAAGGACCAGGATTGGACAGCACTGAACTAGTCTTGTGAGCCCCTATTCAAATTGGTATTGCTGCTCTTGTTGTACGTTTTCTTTAATCCAAAGCATACTAGGGCAGTTAAACTACAGTATGACCGTCTTGGGTTTCATTGAAGCAATCTTTAGTTCACATTTTAACTTCAGAGCAATTCAAAATTAATCTCCTATTTTTTTTGTTTATCTTGGCAGAAACAGAAGCTCTGGGAAACAAGACACAGACCCACAAAGAGTCAACATACATGGACAGGCAGAGAAAAGATGAAACAGACAGACTGTACAAGTCTGAGAGCAGAAAATAACCAGAATTGCTGTGAGTCTAGCAAACCTTCCAGCCTCAACGTTTATCTATATTTTATTACAGCAGCCTCATTTGATCAATTTCAAACAAAACATTATAAGTTTTAACTAGTTCAAAGTGTAAATGAAGCAACTACTCACCTGCTGCAGGTATTTATCGCAGTTAATAAACTCGCGCTCATGTGGGTCTTGGAGTTTGTGTGTTTTGACGTACTGCCACAGAGCCTGGATGATGACAGGTCTGGTCTGCGTGTGGATACCCAACATACGGGCCAGACGGGGGTCCAGCTTGAACTGAGGGGGCTAGGATGACAAAAAAAAAAACAAGGAGAAAATGACATTTTATAAACCTGGTATTAGATATTATCTACCATGAAAAATAAAAACATCACAAATAAAAGGCAAAGCAAACCCCTGAGCATTTACCTGGTAGTCAAGCATGAGGAGGACGGTGCAGCGAACTCCCACATCACCGGGCCTCTTTACTTGGAAACCATCAGTCTCCTGGGTGGTGGCAGTCCTATGCCACTAAAAAGATTCACAAAACATTTGAGAAACAGAAGCTATTACATGTTAAATACTGGTTATTTTAGCAACATGTATTATATGTTTGCACAACCATAAAAAATAGCTAATTTTATTAACTTTTTAAAAAATACATGAAAGGAAAAGAATAGAAAAAAAACCCAATAATTAGGGTAAAAATCATCTTACTTCAACCAGGTGATTATCTGGTCCATACAGGTCTTTGTCCAATTCAATCACAAGAGACTTGAAGAATGATGAGAACTTTCTTTTTTGTTTGGTGGCTTCATATTTGGAGACAGCTGTCTGGAAGCAAGATGAAAAAGAAAATTAATACATTTGTCTTTTATTGTTTAACATGTATTTCTACATAAAACTAATACTTTTGCTTACATCTTCCAGAAGACGCCCTTCAACACGCAGCTCCCATGATGCAACTGTGCCCTCTCCATCCTCAGCATCAGGCTTTGCAGGGTTGAAAGTGTTCGATATGAAGATCCGCAGCTTTCTTTTTTGCTGAAAATAAACAATTCAAAGAATGTTTATGTATGTGCCATTTAATAAAGCTTTTACATCTGCACTGATAATAAGCAGTGCCAAAGATAATTCAGTTTTCAGAATAGAGCAGCTTTCCCAAAAACATAAAAGAAACAAGCAGCTTAATTAAAAACAACAAAGCAATTTTGTGCAGAAATCAGAAAACATTTGTTAGGAGGGTTTGGCAGCTTTATAATGTGAGAATATTCTTATTGTTCACAATGTTAAATGGAGTAAACCAACAAAGTCATCATCTCACAAATACGACAAATATGATATACATACATACATCACATAACATACATATATACCTTAATAGGCCTTTTAAGGGCCTCCTGAATGTCAAGCCTCTTGCGCATGATGGTCTGGTCCAACTTCCTCTCAAAGGCCAGAAGATCCATGTAAGCCTGAGACTCTGGGACCAGTTCCCTGATCTAGAACAAACAAACACATACCGGTAATATAATTCACAGTTGTAATAGTATTCAAAGAAATGAAGAATGACCTATTCTGAACCAGGCTTGTGGCAACAAGTGTTGATATAAAATCAGAGTGTTGCAATTGTTTTCTAACACATTATCACATCAGCTGACTTTTAATGTTAAAGAAACAGCTTTCTTTTACCATCTACTGACTAACACTGATTACTTTGTTTCAGTACGGGGAATAACCTTAAGCTTGTATAAAGGAAAGTGAAATATTTTCTCATAAGAACCTTCTTGTTGCTGCAGAAGACGTGTCTTGATTTCTACAGTCTCCAAAATGAATCAAAGTACCAAACAAAAGCTCACGACTCAACTCTATGTGAACTTTTCAACTGAGCTGTATCTGAATAAAACTGATAATAAAACTACTTTCTTTGCTTGTTATACAACAAAAACAGGTGACAAAACTTTAACACTTTCCCTTAAAACATCTTTATAGCTTTGTTGATCCACTCTGAGACGGTGCTATTTAAGAGACTGAGCTGAATACAGCTCCTCAGACTGAGGAAGTCTCTCGGATGAGAGACGAAACGTTTCTACGTTTTTTTGTTGATTTGCTTTGTTTTTTTTGTTGTTTTTTTTTTAATGTCCAGAGGACCAGATTTAACTTTTTTAGATCTTTATAGCTTATTTACATGTTGTGCATTTTTTTGAAACAAGTTAAACAAAATGCCTAAGATGCACATTAAAATGTAGCTGTTTTACAAAAAGAAATTAGGAATTTTAGGGAATATAAAACAATAAAAAAATAATTGGCACTAAAGCTTTGATTACATTAAAGGACACCTTCAGTAAAAGCATTATTTCCATTCACCACACATTACTTACCCTCTGAGGTAGAATTTTATCAGCCATTTTCTTCTTCTTTGTGCTAAAAGAACAAAATGGGTAAACAAAAAAATAGTCTAAATCACGGGAATCTTGGTGTTTGCATAAATAAGACAAAAAAGCTATAAGTTCTTCGGTTTGATTTTTATAGCCTCTGATATTTGTCGTTAGCACATTCAAACAAATACAGACATACCATAGCTAGCCTATATATGCATAACCACAATAATTAAGTTCCTAATTTAAAGGACTGAAATTAGATTGGGAATTGTGCTGGGCTCAAATTAAACCCTTCAGGTGCAGGACAAACTTACTGAATTAACACAGGACCGTTACTGCTGAGCCTAATCATGCAAGTAAATTACAATTAACATCAATGTGTCTTCAAATACAGAGACACTCGGTGCTGCCTTTCTCTAACAAATCAGCTGTAGAGTCTGCTAAAAATATATTTAAATGTCAATAAAAAAATCATTTTCCTATTACCGGCACTATTACGATGGAGTCAATCATTTGGTAGATAAAAAGTTGATTTCAACTGCCGACTCAGACGATCCAGTACTCTAAGTCTTAAAATAATACATTATCAAAATTGTTTGCTAAATTTGCAAACAAACAAAAATGAAGTAACCAAATAATTGAAATAGTAATATATTTTTATAAAATGAGTTTGTTGTTTGTGAAACAAACACCTAGACTATTTTATTTATTTTTTCCTTCTTTCGGCTGCTCCCTGTGTTGGGGGTCGCCACAGCAAACTAAGTCGCACGAAGACTTGGCAGTTATTTTTACGCCAGATGTCCTTCCTGACGCAACCACAGACCACCGAGCCACCACAGCCCTCTGTGTGGAGCAGAGAGCTGCTATCTAGGACACCCGGAGGAGCAGATGGTGGGGGTTAAGGGCCTTGCTCAAGGGCCCAGAGTGGGACGAATGAGGGTGGGGGCAGGTGTGGGTGCTTCACCTACCCCACCCATATTTTTGATGTTGTCGGTACCGGGGCTTGAACCGGCGATCTTCCGATCACAGGCCAACCTTCTCTAACCTCTGCACCACCACTCCCCTACCTAGACCATTATTTAATGAATTTTAAAACAACTAAGGCATACCTCAAGTTCATATTTTAAAAATAATGGCAAGTTTAACTTCTATTTAACTTTATTTTTGTAACTTTAACTAGATTATCTGTTCTAATTTGGAGCGGCAAAATATTTTTAGATGAATAGAGTTTTGGGGATAATAGTAATCAGATTTAAAAGCATACCCATGAAGACCTCTGAACACAATAAGATACAATATTTACTTTTCTACTGGGTTCAAACCATTACAGATGATTAAATGTCTCAATACATGTCATTAAACTTTCACTTCTAGCACTGAGCTCCTGTTTAAAATGAAGCTTTGTGGCTGAGCTGGGACTGCAGAGGGACTTACTGCTGGTTGCGGTTCTGCTGTTGCTGAACCTGCTGAATCTGTTGAGGGGCTGGCCTTTTTCGAGAAGGGTCTATCACCCCAGGCATCCCGGGGCGAGACACAGGGCTGCTGCCATACCCTGGGGGGCCCATGGCTGGTCCCTGAGGGGTCATACGGCTGGATGGAGGCATGCCTGGTCTCTGCAAAAAATAAAAATAAAAAAAGACATCAAGGTCTACAGAGTAAAATAGCTTAGCAAAAACATTACTGAGAAAATTTCATAAACTGAGTCACAGCTGCTGAAGTGTACAAAACATTTTTAAACCAGATTTACTGGTGACTATGCATGCGTGTTCTGCTCAATAAGTCAACTTACGGTACATGTTTGTGGAAAATTTTAGTTGTAGATCAGAATTTGTGCTTGTCTTTTAAATTATAAGATCGGTTTTAAAACCTGTGCATCAGTGTTGAAAAATTATTTAATTAATTCTTTACATTCACCTAGAAAAACAAAAAATAAAACCAACGTGACAGACTCTTACACTAGAAACTGTTTTATCACAAGTCATATTGATTTCACTGTTGTAATGCTTTCACTTTGAGCATTTTAAACTACGCGGCAGCTACAGTAAATGTACGTGTAAGCTGCTTATACCAGCGCAGACGAATTGTTAAACACACATTTAATGGCTGTCTGGCACACAAAGTGACACCGGTAATTAAAATAAGGAAAAGTTCTTTAGCCTGTAGGATTGAATAAAATGTATTCTTAAAAAAGCATAATGATCATAGCTCTGCAAATGTACCAACAATTCCTCTTCTTATTCTAACACAAATTTATTCTAAAATATAAGTCATGTTCTTAAGATACTTGTTGAAAAGCGAAGATGCTCAGTCAGTTTTCACAAGAGGAACGCAGAAAAAAATTAACTCCTTAGAAACATTTAGCAAAGTGCTAGTTCAAAAAAACAAACAAATATGGGCTCTGCAACTGGACGTAAAAAAAAAAAAAAAAAAAAGATATTTTGCAATATTTAGCATTAAAAGAGTTTCCAATTTTTAAAATGCTGCCTTGAAAGATAACGCAAAGATCAGACTTGATTCAAGCAATCAATCAATACAAAACAAAAATTTAACCTCGAGTAAAATAAGATGGGTACTTTAATATCGGACTTTTTATTTAAAACTATTCAGAAAACCAAAACTTAACCATCATCCAGCCAATTACAATAGCAAAATGTAACCGATATGTATGCAAAAAGTTCAAAATGCTAAATGCAAAACACACAAAATGTTTTAGGTCAGTGTATGACTAAAGCTTTAAAACGTTTACTGAAAAAAGTTCATTATTTTTACATTTTAGTTCATCTAGATATTGTGTTCCTGTAAATTACTGTTGGCATACACAAAAATTAGCCCATCTTCCTACATACATGTGTTTATTCTATAATCCTAAATGAATCCATTGCAGTAAGTGCACCAAAAGCAAATGCAGCCCATTAAAGCAAATCTACAAAGTGTTATCCGATATACATAATTTGATATTTTACCTATTTAAAAAAAAAAAAAAAAAAAAACTATCAGCAAATCTACCATGCCTTACTGACAAGAAAAAATACAACCTCGACCAACTCACCAAGCCATGTGCTAGGAATTCAAACAGACGACTTCTTGTATTTAACTGCATGAGTGCAGGCGAGATGAGTAGATAAATCACAAGGCAGATTGCAGCTTTTACTTCAGCAGTATGTCCAACAAATGGGACCAATGAAGGCTAAACACACACTCCTCAATCTGTGGTGGAAGCAAGGAAGAGTGACGGACTTCAACAATACAGAGCTTGCCTTTCCCACACAACAGTGTAAGCAGAAGGGAACTGCATGCCGATCATTTAGTGCTTTTTAAACCGTGCTTTAGTATAACCTTGGTCTGCTTGAGAACAACTGGAGATCTGCAGCATTCAGAACATGAATTCTTTTCGACCGTGTTGTGAAAAACTGCCTGTGTGACTGAAAGCAGCCAAGGACACTGCAGAAAAAAAAGATGCAGAATCCTTTCACTGAATTGCATTTGAAGTTGGCAGCATTCTTAAAACGACTGAACTGCAGCACACCAACGATAAATGATTCATCGTTTTTAATTGCCCATCATGAGGCAGCATCACAGGGAGAAATTAAATGATTGAAAAGAATCTCAACCCTGTTAACAAAACACAAACATACAAGCTGAGAGCCATGATATAACAAGACAATCTATTGACATTGTAGATGTATGATTTAATTATTTCTGCTCTGAAAAGATCTAATGCATAGATCAAATAACACTGTAAACCAACACCAGTTCTACGAGTTATCCGATACTTAAATCACAAGCTGTTTTAACAAAAATTAGAATGATGTGGATTCACTGAAAAAAGGAAAATAACTTACTTTTACAGACTGAAGGAGGCATGTCTCACTTAAACCTAACTTTAAAATACGAACCTTAATGCTGTATTATAACAAAGTTCAATTTGTCATGTATTCAGCTGTAAAACTTTTAAAGTTTAGGTTTCTGAATAATCATCTGCAACTGCAATGTATACAAACGTTGATATTTATGAAAGGAAAAAAAAGCTGGGAGTGACACCCATGACCCGAAAAGGAAGAAGCGGGTAAAGATAATGGATGGATAAAAGCTGGTTAATGCCTCTAACCAAACATGTAATTCAAGACAATTAAAGGGAAAGTTACAAAGTTGAAAATAAACCATTAATTTAGCGATTTATTACAAACTTTACATTTTGCATGTATTATTCTACCTGTTACAGTTGACAAAAGTTAAATCCTGAAAGTTTTTGCTTAAAAGTGGCTTTTCTGTGTAAGTTTGTTATATTAATTACGCCCAATGAGATATACTTTTCAGACAGGGGAGTCAGTTGATATATGAATATTCTAAAAATCGCAGCCCAGTCGATTAACAACTTTACTTCCAAGAAGCACAGACACACAAAAATTGTCTAACATGATGTATAGCTTAAAAAGTGACTTTGTTCAACCAACTCCTGTAACTGTGTGTGTGTGCAGTCGTACTGATTAAAGCCAAAGGCCGATGCTGTGTTTGTGCAGATGTTCTGCTTCTCATACAAGACATTTATTCAAGTGAATTCAATTTGACTTCTAATCTTTGGATAAGAAGAGAAACAACGTTCACAAAAGTCGTACAGTTGCTTTGTCTTTAACTCTGGGGATAAAGGCTGTTTTAGCTTTCTTGTTGAAATTTTGACCTCTTCTACTGATTTCTGAACGAGATGACTCTTGAAACATAAAAGCTGGCAGAAAGTTTTTTTATTTTTATACTCAGAATAAGAATCAAAAGTATTTTAAAACTGTAATTAATTCAATCATATACATTTCGTGATGATTTATATATATTTATATATATATATATATATATATATATATATATATATATATATATAT